AAAAATACAGCTCACAGTGATATTCTTTAGTTTTCGAGAGAGAGGAGTAAAGTTTTACAGTTTTGATATAACTATCTATTTATTTAAAAAAAATCAAGAAACATCATATAATAGTGGCTGGTTATGAATAAATGTGCTGTGACTTAGATGATTTAGATTTTGGTGAAGGTCTACTCAATGTACACATATTCAAGAGGCCCATGATGAAATTATACAGTGTAGATGTGACAAATTCCCCCTTCTAACTTTGAAGGATCAATAGATGACAGGGTCGGACAAAGTTTACGTAAAAAGGCATCATTTTTAATAAATAACAAATTTTTTTATCATATTGTAATAAAAAAATGGTACACAAGCATTCAAAGAAATACTAAAATCGACCCACTCCTTTGTAAAAATTATAAAAAACAAAAAATTAGATCAGAAACCTTCCCCGTCTAGTCACAAGTTATTTTGCAAAAGTCATTCGGTATCTCATTATTTACTATGGGTCACATAAACGTTATATTTAGGCACCACCCGATAATATTAAATGTTTTGATGATTTCAAAGTATTATGTTTATTATACATTGTAGAATATTAGAAAACAGATCAGTTACTCAAACTCATACTAAGCGGTGCTAAATATGATGTTACTTCATATTGACAAATTCGATTTGAAAACTGTGACCAAAAAGTTGAAGTAAAAGCTTTTCAGAGTGTTCCAGCACAAACTCTCCGATTTTGCATTCAAATCCCTGCCTGGCTAAGATTTAGGAAAGTTTTTTACAGCAATAATAGCAAGTAACATGCATCATCCAGAAAAGCTCTGCTTTCACACGAAAATTGCATATAAAAAGTTTCTGAATAGCTCCCTTATTGAGTGGAGTCATGCTCTCCATTTATTCATCACCTTTAATAGTTGAGGCACATAGAATAATAATGGTCTAACTTCAATAATTTGAAAATTGGCGCCAGTCATCTAAAGAGTATCAATCTACCTTGATCTGTCATTATATAGGTGGTCTAACTCCATACTTCAGTTTCTGGCCAATAGATGGCACTATCTTACTCTTATTGTGATTGAAATTTATTATAGTTCAGTATAAAAATGGTATAACTATTATATTCAGAATAATATTGGAACAGCTTTGGAGTTAGACGGGTTAGACCATTATTACGTGCAATAACTGGACGTTGCAGAACGTTTTGTGTGTTTATGGTGGAATAAAAGTTTTATAATGGACAGAAAGGGACAAACATCCCAGGCCGACTAAACAGAATAACAGACCGCCCCCGTTAGTCGCCGTTAGGCGGCTCAGGTAAGTATAACACTAATCAGATACACTCTCTTCCAGGTAGGTTCAGCGAAGAACACTTCGACCACGATCGCGACGAAAATTTTTCTTGGATGCACTGAGAAACGCTCGATGCATAACACAAAGCCGCCGGTTAGTTTTTGGGGGCCCCCATGCTTAAATTCAGTTAGGAATAGTCAGATAAAACAACGATTCGNATTTAAAGCTTTATGCTGAGAATCATAAACATGTCATTGCTTATTCAGATTCTTGTGCAGGTCAGAATCGGAATATAAAGATGAGTTTATCTCTGCTAAAACTTGTACAAGATTCAGAAGTTGAAATCAACATCATAGATCTTGAATTTTTGGTATCTGGACATTCTTTTCTTCCAAACGATGGCGAATTTGGTAAAATAGAGTCTGAAAGCAGACGCCATGGCATTATTTATCATCCAGATGAGTGGATAGATATAATTAAAAACTACAAGCGAAAGGCACCTAAGTTTGTATGTAGTATCTGAAATTCAACATAAAGAGTTTTTAAGCACGAAAAATTTAGAAAATTTGATTACCAATTGGAAAACTATTACGAATGGATATCACTTCAGCTGGCTTAAAATAAGATGGCTTCGATTTCAATTTACGGAAACTCTAAATCCCGAAATGGAATTTTATATTGTGGATATTTGTCGGTAGGCCTAGAAGAGGTTTGACTAATGTAATGCAACAACCACTTTATCACACAAGAAGAACTGTGACAGCTGCAAAGAAGAAAGACATGATGGACTTGCTGCCCTACATACCACCCGTACACCATAATTTTTATTAAAACTTGCCACTGAGACAGTCACCCGAGGTTCTACTCAACAAAACCTGGAAGATAGATCTTCTGACGATGAAATGATTTATGATTAGACGAACTTAAACAAAATCGTTCAGATTTATAGTGGTCTAAGTCCACATTTTTTTGTTAGCCTCTTAGTTTTAAGGTGTTTTTGTTTGCAAAAATTCTCGATGTGTTATAAAACCTGCTTATGTTTTACTGTATTGGTTAGGAATAAACATTCACGTTATGTTAAAAAATTTTGTTGAATTTTTTATTCGCATTTTTAATTAGCCTAATTATTAGAAATTAACTTGTTTAGAGTTAGACCATTGTTATTCCATGTGCCTCAGTTGTATATCTACAAATGACATACCTAGAAAGTAATGTATCAATAAAATTTTGACGTTGTACATGAGGAAGTTGTGTGATATTAATAAAAGCAGTTTTTCTGAGAAGACATAACCATTTCATCTGTCCAAGCCTAAATAACCTCTAAATGACTACTCTCAGTATGAATCAACAATACAGTACCTATCAGATAGACCACAAAATCAAATCCAAGTAATATTCATATATCAATGTATTTTGTGGGGTTACAGTCAGATTGGTAGGGTTGTCACAAAGGAAACTCTTTGTTATGTGTCAAGCTTTCGGTAAATTTATTACCTTCGCTAGGGCAACTAAAATAGATTTCAAGATGCTTATTTTATATAGATATAAATATGGAACACTTACTATTGGGAGAATAATAAAGAAATTATAACAAAACGAACAGAAATAAGAAGCATAACAGTTTTTATAAATATGTCAAATTTTGACAGGATGATTTTTTTATCTTTCTCTTATTCAAGTAAAAATGTATGAATTTGGCTCAAATTTTTAAGATCCGTTTTTTTGTTCATGCAATGTTCTTCGTTGTTGACGTGGATCATTTTAAAAAAAATTATTTTGGTTAACTTGGTTTCTTCATCTAAAATTTCTAGATTCTCAAAAGTCCATTCTGTAATCCTCCTTATTGATGTGTCCACTCAATGCGCAAGAATTAACGTTTCGTCTGCAGTCGCTCGCTTTTGTGTGAAGTTATGCGACCGATAAGTCTGTCCTATATATGTTTTGGAACAATCCATACATGAAATTTTGTATACCGTGTTCGATTTTTGTTTATTCAAATTTGAGTTTTGACTTAACTATATAATTTCAAAATAGTTGTGACATTTCTTTTAGAATTTATAAAGTGTTTGTTTCTAAATACATTAATTAATTTTGGTGTTAGTTCATGAATATAAGGTAATGATTCATAAAAAAAGGGCTGTACTCAATTATAATTTCCATTTTGGGAGGTAGAAGAAACTGTTCTTTCACAACAAATCAGTTTATTCACTAAAGATTTAGGATAAAAATTTTGAATTAGAATTTTACTTAAATTAACAAACTTTTGTTTTTAATAATTCTGTTTTTTAATGATTTCATCAGCTCTACCAATCTGACTGCCACCCCAAATATATTGATTTACATTACATATAGGGTGTTTCAAATTCGATCCTCGCCATTGGGATCTCGGAAACTATGAGAGATACGAAGATGGTTAAATTGGGGCAAAGTTGCGCATTTACCTGACTAACAATATGCAGTTGAGAAAGTTCTGAAATTCCGAGTGTATCTGGAAAATGGTTTTTATTTTTTTCTGACTGTATTTTTCGAAGCATTCGAAAATAAATTGCACTTCCAGATTGCCACTTTTCCCTGCAACATAGGTGTTTTCAGATTTGCCATTCGATGTTTCATCCATCATCAACATTAATTTTTCTGATGGGCGCTACATTGGATTCTTTCTGTTTTGAATAGAACCAGATTTTACCTTTTCAATGATGTATCATAAGTTATCATTCTTTTTCTAAAAATTGGAGATATTGAAAAAAATTAATTCTTATCATAATAAGCTTTGACTTTGATGTTTCTAAATTTGACTTTCAATTTGTTATACTCAATGACATTTTGTTATTGTACAAGTCATTGAATTTTTGGCGAAAAATGGCTTTCACGAATGAAGAAAAAAGAGATATGATACAAATTCATTACAAATACGATAGAAACAATGTTGGGACATCGAAAATGTATTATTGGATCAAAATCTCACCGAGTTTGGTTCATTTGAAAAGCAGTGAACAATATTCGAAGAAGGGCACAGTTGTGTAATCATGAACATGGCCAGCATTTTGAGTATTTTTGCTGTAATTTACTTTTGTCTTTACATCTTAGTTAATTATTGTTATTTATTCAAAGTTCTATTTTCATTGAAAAGGACACAATGTCTAATTTACCTCATACACACCTCATTCATCAAATTTTGATTGTTCATTCTGTCTCCGTATTTTTTCATTGACTTTTGAAACGAACCAAACTCAGTGAGATTTTGATCTAATAACTTGAACATAGTTCAATGTGGTTGTCGTCTTTCCGGTTACAAGTTTAAATACATTTCCGATGTCCTAACACTGTTTCTATCGTATTTGTAACAAATTTGTATCATATCTCTTTTTTTTCTTCATTCGTAAAAGCCATTTTTTGCCAAAAATTCAACGACTTGTACAATAACAAAATGTCATTGAGTGTAAAAAATTGAAAGTGACATCAAAGTCAAAGACCATTATGATAAATTTTTTTTTTCAATATCTCCAATTTTTCGAAAGAGAATGATGCATCATTGGAAAGGTGAAATCTAGTTTTATTCAAAACAAAAAAATCCAATGTAGCGACCATAAGAAAAAATAAAGTCGATGATGATGACCGGAAGACAAAACGTCGGATAGTAAATCTGAAAACACCATCATGTAACAGGGAAAGAGTGGCAAAGTGGACGTGCAATTTATTTTCGAATCCTTCGAAAGCCAGAAGCCAGAAAAAAATAAAAACCATTTTCCGAAATTTCTGTTTTTTTCCAGGTATCTCCAGATATACTCAGAATTTCAAAACTTTCTCAATGGCATATTGTTAGTCAGGCAAATGCGCAACTTTGCCCCAATTTAACCATCTTCATATGTTTCATAGTTTCCGAGATCCAAATGGTGAGGATCTAATATTTCAGTAACTTTCTTTTTTCAAAGTCATTGAGAAGTATATCTTCATTACTTGGAGTATAATGGTTTTGATTTTCAAAATGTTCCAATAGAAGAGTCATGAACGAGATTTTTTTTCAACATTGGAATATTTTGTTTTTATGATATTCCGCATTTCTCAGTTGGCATATTAATGTTTTATATTCATCAGAATGATCAATCGAAACTCAAATACTTTTAGGAAGCTTCTCCCATAACCATAATACCCATAATAATAATATTCAATACACCAATCTTTTACGAATTTACAGATTAAACAATTTGTAAATAAAAACATTACTTTGATCAAAAAACTAAAAATTGAATCAACAGGATAGCTGAGTAATTCAATATTTTTGTGAAGCTCCTATGAACAATCAAATCAGTTGTTTACTTTCAACGATTTTGAGACTGAATTACCGGTCATCGACTAACTCAGTTTTAACCTCAGATATATCCAAACTCTCTTCGTCTACATCAGGATCTTCTTTGATCATTACATTCGATGGAGCAGGTAAGTTCACTTCTTCTAATGGATCTAATATTGATTCCCCAACAAGGGGAGGAGACTCTGAGGTAACTATTTCTTCCAACTCCATTTCCAGACCTATAGCGCATTCATTTATATCATCTGAAACAAGAATTATTGACTTCAAGTTTTCTGACAAACTCAACAATATTCTAAACAAGAGAGGGATAGTACGTTAGAAGTTGATTTCTGACCAAATGTAAACCAAACAATATTTATTTTTTTTTTAATAATTATATACTACGAAAATAATTCGCATGGAAAACACCGCTGCCTCGGCGGCTTTGCACAGATATAATCGTCATATTTCAACCAATTTACACAAGACCTGAATGAGTTATGAATTAATGAGTTATAAATCTTCTTGAATCACTTCGTCTATTGGTTGGCCTACGAGAGACAAAACCATTTTAGGACGCCTTACACACTTATCAATTCAATATTTGGATGAACCAGTACAAGTTAAATTGCAAAAAGTGGCAGGTCCCTAGATATTTGAGTCACAACAAAACAGATTGCTCAGTTGAAAAGGAAGAGGTTATAGACTAAGATCTCAGGCCCCCCTAACTTATTTTCTGATGGACAATAGAGTAGTAATATTGCTACAGGTAAGTAAAACTTGTACTCTCTTTAACCGTGTGAGGAATGATTCTTCCATATATTGTAGGGAATACTGTAAACAATTTGAATTTAATACTGCCAGACACCTTCTGTTGGCAGTTTTCATTCCCAGAAACTTTAAATATCGAGAGCAAAAAACCTAATTTACAATCTGAGAATTGATTTTCATCTATGATACTCAGGGGGATATTTTAATATATTTTGTAAGCTGCCAGACCAATCGTAGGTGCCAAACACCCCCACGTGTATGTTGTCATTTTGAATTCATCATTTGTGACAGGAATTATTGATGCTGATGCTGATGCAGCCTTGCTTAATTCATTAACACATGTAATGTTTCCGACGTAAATGAAGAGTTCAACCGAAAAAATGTTAAAAACTTTGATGCCAACAGCTTACCACCATGCAAAGCTGAGCTTCAGCAACAGTTTCGGTGAATAAATTACATTGCTAGCCTCTGGAATCATGTTTACAAGAAACAAATAAATACTTTCAGTCCAGAAAAAAATGGATGGAAGTGGGAAGACAGCCAGTATCAATTCAACTGGTTTGATGAAGACCAATTACCTGTTTTCGTCAGTGAATCGTTTAAAAAAGAATCAGGTATTTTACGTTCAATTTATATTATTTTGATAAATTGACAGCTATTCGTATTTTAATTATTTTATTTGCTTTCGCAGAGGAAGATACCGTGGAAGCTGCCGATGATAATAATGGTGTTGATATTGAATACAAGCATTGATAATATTAAGAGATATCGGATTTTAAAGACGAAGATCATGAAGATTGAAAAATCCATAAAATACTTATTGTGAATAATGCTTTATATTTTCATCATTTCTGATAATTCTTTCATCATATACTTTTTTTGTTTTTTTTATAAATTGAAAATACTAATAAACTATAAAATTATGCAAAATATCTGAAATTCAATTTTTAGCTGATACCACTATTGCTTTCTCAGAAACGGAGGTCCTACATGGACGGTTAAATGAAACAAATGTTGACTTTTTAAGAATGCAACATATGGTATTCTCAGATCGATAAAATCACCAACCTTTTTTGAGATATTTGCACAAAACTGAAAATGACAGATTTTATTTTTTTGCTCTACCGCCTCCATTTTCAATAACATCAAAAAATGACAAAGGAATTTTTTGCTTCATTTAAAGTTTTTCATCATCTGGTTCAGCCCATTTTCCAATGCGTCGTTTCGTTCATTAAAGTACATAATCAATATATTTTTTAAATACGAACATGTATATTTTTTATACATTTTGGTAGTCACTGTATTTTTATTAAGAGCTCGAATTTCCAAATGTTACTGAAATCCAAACAGAGTTCTCCCGTCGGTGATGTCGTTCATTGAGATCCTATATATATGTTTATATTCTGTGAAATCCAAATAGATTTCTGTCAGGGTTGTCTTGAAAAAGATAGATCAATAATGTTTGTCTCAAAACCAATATTTCATAAGTTCCAAAGGTTTCTTGAAAATTTGTAGTTGCCAAATATTTCTGTTCAGAAAATGAGTATATCAACAAGAATTAAGTAATGAAAATACTTCAAAAAAGTCATAGATGATATTCAGGGGAAATATGATAAGCGATAATGTCTTTTTTTGAAGTAAGTCATGAAATACATGAATGTGAATGTCAAGTTTATTGGCAAAAACAAAATAAGACAGTTATTCAATTTGGTGAGCGATTTTAAGGGGAAAGCATGATTTTTTCAATGACGAAAAAGTGGATATGCTTTTTGTTTATTCAAGATGTTTGAGAAATGCTACCCAATCTCTGGCAATGTATCAGGAATTGCATTCTGAACGACGACAACCTAATTATAGATATTTTCAACATATCGAAACTAGTTTACGAAATTATGGATCTTTTGAAAAACCCTCCAAAAGAAAATGTACGGTTACTGAATGTGATGGTGATAATGAAATCGGCGTTTTAGGTGAGTTCAAAAAACATTCACAATAATGGTAAAGTGACATTCATCTGATTCAGGATTTGTGAAAAATCAAAAATTTGAGAACAGGGAAGTATCCTGAGGGAGAGTGCTCATAATTCGGCCATATCCACTACATCTGTGGAAAATTTTAAAGCGTTTTACGGACTTCAACAGGAGAATGTAGATAATATTACTGAAGTTTTTTCCCAACACCAAACCGTTATTTCAATACATCACACGTGTTTCGATAACCAAGTGATCATCTTCAAGAGGAAGATCAAACTGGTTTGCTGGCAATAACAAGTGAAATAAATTCATTGAGAATAGACAGGACCTTCGTATACTAAAAGTGTAACTGATCTCTATCTGTACATAAAAAACTATGAGAAAAAGTATTATTGAAGGTCATTTTTACCACAATAGAACGCGAAACAATGATTTCTAGAATTTTGTTTGTATGTGCGTTTGAGCACACTTACCTCAAAAACAGGTTAACATGGCTTGCATTTGTAGTTTTGTGGAAAGAATGGAGTCTATAATATCTACCTTATAACCATTGTTGACAGCGATTTGTTTGATCAAACCCAGCTCTCTCTGGAAATTACTCACAAAGAGTGGAACATTCAATAGTCTGTGAAGCATACTATTGAATGCAGCAACTTTATGCCGGAATGGGTGTGTGGAGGAATTATGTATGATAATGCATGTGTAAGATGGTATGAAGGATGGTATTTGAAGGATGATATCAGCTTAATCCATTAAACATTACCATGATCGCCTCCTTTCAGTTTTTTCAGTTTTGTTAAATCCTGTAGAATTCTCCTCCTGGCGTTAATAAACCAATTCTCAACTTGAAGCAAAGATAGGTTAGTTTCCTGCATGAGCATTTGTTTCTCATGATCTGTTGGGTATGGATGCTGCAAAAATTAATGATGGACTCAAACAGGAGAAAAAGTTTGTAACTATCAAAACTCACATCTGTGTGACGAAAGAGCCAGCGTTTCAAATGATTTTTTGCTTTTGTTGGTAAATGAGGTCTCCTTGTTAAAATTGAGGACGTTGGTTCAGTTGAATTTGATGCTGAAATCATAACCATTAAATATTTTCTATGCAAAAACAACATGAAAAATAAAATATTCACAAGTGTTGACTCTTCTGAATAAAATCTATACTACTAATACTATATATACTAATAACACTTTATGAAGAACAATAGTTCTGGACTGAGAAAAACTTTTTAAAAAAGGAAACACTTCGAAAATTTTAGGTGTGACTGATAGAATTATAAATGACTGAAGAAGCTCGTAAATGATGAAACTATTATTGTGGTTTGGTAAACTATGAAAAATTCTATATTCAGGATTTAACAAATAAAAGTACTATTCCAATAAAATATTCAACTACTTATGTACTTAATTATTTATCAATTGTAAACTTGAAAATTGTGCCGATGACCTCAGTAATAGATGTACAGTTGATAAACTTGCTAATGCTCATTTAAAATCTATTAAGGGACCACAAGATATTGGTCTCCTCAGGAAAGTCTCTCACTGGTCTATCTTATAATTGTTTGTCATAATACTATGATCATTTTAGACTGTTGTGTCTAAAAAATGAAACAAAACTTATGACAGAAAAATTTTAAATTGAAGTATACTAAATTTATTTTATGAAGCATAAGAATCACTTTCACGAAGTTTATGAATGATTTAATTTATTCTTATTAAAATCAAACAAAAAGTTCAAATATGATTTACGAACTACCCATTAATGTAAACGCTGGTAAACTCACATTTTGAACAGATATTGTTGTGTTTCCGCAAATACTGTAAACTCTTGAAAGTCATGTTGCAAAAATTGCAAACAAAATCATCTCCGTGCACAGCTTTGTGCAATAACAATTTACGAACATCGGGAAAATTCATACCACATCTTGAACAATTCAATGATTTAGTTTCTTCAGTGAAAGGTTTTCTTTTTCGACCTCGCACATGAACAATTTCAATTTCTCCTGTTCTAGGTAAAGTTACTTCTTTCTGAATAAGTATTTTTGTTTCTTCTGAGATCTGTGTTCTCTCTTCTTGTTCAAATTCGTTTTGCAAAAATGGATATCTGTTTAATGGGGGTAAATCAGTGGCAGGTATTCTAGACAGGTCATAGTTTATTTCTTCTGTATCAGATTGACCTTCGATGTATTGCTGAATTTTCCTTTCAATAATCAGGCAGCGAGACTTGAAATCATAGGCCGACTTGAGAGCTGTTCGACATGTATTACATATAACTGGATTGGGTATGAGATCCAAAGCCTAGAATGAAAAACTCTTAAATTTTCAAATCATCAAAAATTCAAAATGTAAACCAACAAGAATACAAACCATTTCTGGGATGCAAGTGGTTAATTGATCTCGGTAGGGCATAAATCCCGTGAATGACTCGACAGCATTGATATTGAAATATTTGGAACCTCTCTGTAATTTTTGTAAACACATTCGACATACTTTTGTCATGATTTCTACTGAATTTTAACAGACTTCAATATCCAATCATTTCACATATAATTTTGTTATATAATAAGTACTGAATAAGAATTATCTAAATTTTGCTGGTAAATTTGACATTTTATTATAAATGTCAAAATGAATATCATGTCAAATGGCATGTTGAATTTTTTGTCACTCATTAGTAACATTTGACATTGAAAAATCCCTAGAAAAACAAATTTAATTGCTTTGTCTATTACACATTAGATGCCACCTCTAGAATAACTTCATCTTTGTATATAGGTTAGTGTAAATACAAAGGCTTCATCATTGCCTAAAATCATTAGACAATGGTATAAAGATAAAAGGACGTCTTTATCTTTATACATACTACACTTCTGTAAATAGCAAAAACTCAAATTTTATTTTTACATGGCCGTATCCTCCATCGGTATCACAATGGACAACTTTCTTAATGGAAATCGCTAAGATGTTTTTGGTGATAAATTCATACTTTTATCATTGTCTAAGGATTTAAATCTATAGACAATGCTTTTATTCCAATGTACTTGACCAGTTATAAGTTATGATCCTTCTCAGAATATTTTCTTGAAATTTTCTATTTTTAATTTTCGAGTCGAAGTGATTCTGTATTCAAAAAAGAGATGTCACAACTAGACAATTAGGTTGTGATTTGATTTGTGTGATGTGATTTGTGATTTTATCCTTGTTTACATAAAAACCAATATAAAATCAATTAATTATATAGAAAATAGTTGAATTACATCATATTTCGAATGAGATTTGAATGAAGTTATTCTTGAACCTGGGGACCAATTTCTCGACATCATATGAATATCCTCATAAGGTTTTATATACCCAACGATGATGTCCATAATCGTTGTTATATACCTACCTACTCAAATATTCCCTTGCAAATACTAAATAATGGTAGGTATTCTCGAATGCAAATGGAATAGATATTCAATAGTAGAAAAAAATTAACCTTTCCTTAAACTTTCTAGGCAAAAATACGAATCGAATGACACCTTGGTCGTAATTTTTGGACAGGGCTGAAAAATGTTACAACTGAAAGTACATGTGAACTAGACTAGATCTTGAAATTCAATGTTAAATATGTTAGGGAAAGAAAGATGTAGTAAAGTTGTCAAAATTAGAGTTTTCTCGTTGTTACTATTCGGAAGAAACTTATCAACCTAGAGAAAACGAGAAACATTCACAATTTCATTCCAATTAATTACCGAAAATTCAGCATAGCATTCCGATTGCAAGCATTACCTGGAAATATAAGTTTTCAGTAGAGTTTTTTCTTTTTTTTTCACATTTCATTTTTCATTCTATTTTTAGTTTTGTTTCTTGATTTTTTTCTTCCTTTGTAGAATTTATTTTTCATTCCATTTTTATTTTATTTTTTTCATTTTTATTTGTATATTATTGCCATTAACTGTTAAAATAAAAATCTGTTTTTCCGTTAACCAGCTGTCGCCCCTGTATGAACACCAACTCTCAAAAGTCGAGGCTTGTGCGAGGTGCGAGGCTTAACGAGGTCTTACCTTTTAAAGTGTGATTCCTAACTCATTCAATTCATTCCCATTTCAGATCACAAACTGTTTTCTTTACAAATAGCGTTATTTTATTTTTAGGTCTGAAAGTGAAAGATTGGTAAGACTCGTATGTCCAGAAGCATCCGATAACTTCACCCACTGGATTAGTGTCCATAGTTTCATCGACGAGGTTCGTGACATGGTCTGGAGGAACTCCTTAAGAAATATTTGATGAATAGGACCGCACCCAGGGCAAGAGGGCGGCCCGTATGTTATAACTGCGGCAGAGAGGGACATTTTAGAAGGGACTGTCGAATACGTTCAGTATCCGAGAAAAGAGACTGGCGTGCGAGATCACCCAAACGAGAGCGCAGGGATTTGGAAAAACTAAATCCAGCCGGTATTAGGGAAAGTAGTAAGTAGTACCCGTTTTGGAAACAGCCATTGATGATAGACTGATGGTCTATGAAAAAGCTGAAGTGGGACAGGCTTGGTAATTGCGAAAGAGAAACTAAGGTATTAGTGGCCAACATCGTCGACGAATTAATTTTGGGACCAGTCATCATGTTCCTCTACGGAATCGTGGTGGATACAAGGAACAAACTGTTAAAAGTTGGAAATGAGAAAATTCTGCTTGATGTTCCCTTTCAGCCTTCTGACAGCGCCAAGGTGGTTAGACTAGAAGATTCCAGAATCTCTCCCAAAGCACCGAGAAAATCATTCAAGCGGAAATTTCTGGACCTGTCGGCTTAGGTATAGCATTGATAGTAAATAGTAACAATCAGACCCTTACAGTAAGAATATAATCAGCCGTAATGACAGGGTGACTCCCGAGAAAGAAAAAGTAATAGGCACCTGCATACCGATTGTGAAAATTTCCAGAATCGAGGAAGAAGTCCTTCTGCAGCATGCTCAACAATCCGCAAAGAAACTCATCGACTCATTCAGGAAAACGTGGAGCCATCTGTCTGAAGGAGAACTATGTAAGGCAATCCGATTTGTAGAGGAAGACAACGATATGTTTGTAAGGGTTGAACGGATTTAGTTCAATATCGGATCGATACTGGCGATGCCAAGCTTATTCGCCAACACCGAGACGACTTCCCTTCGCAATGCAGGACGAAGCTTCATCCATCGTTAAGCACATGCTGAATTGAGGAGTAATCAGGCAGCCCCTTGTCGGCTCCTGTGATTTTGGTGACTAAAAAAGATAGTTCGACGAGATTCTGCGTAGACTACAAGAGGCTCAATGATGTCACCAGAAATTACAGATACCCTCTCCCCAGAATAGATGACACCCTGAACATCTTGGCAGAATGCAGATGATTCTCAACATTAGATCTAAAAAGCGGATATTGGCAAGAGGACGTTCGCCTTGAGGATAAAGAAGAGACTGCCTTTTCCACCGGCAATGGATTATATTTATCAGTTTAAGTTTATATGCCGTTCGGATTAAGAAATGCACCGCAATATTTAAACGCGTGATGGAGTTGGTGCTGAGAGGACTTAACTAGAAAATATGCTTGGTCCATCTTGATGACATTATAGTGACCGGCAAAAGTTTTGACGAACATCTGTCGAACTTGGGAAGCGTTTTTACGAGACTGCGGAATGTTCATTTACAAATCAATCCCAAGAAGTGCTGCATCTTCCAGGAAATTGTAAATATTTTGGGGCACGTTGTGTCTTCAAAAGAAGTTGAAACAGGTCCAGAAAATATCAAGGTAGTGCAATAATGGCCAACACCAAAGAGCAAGCACGTTAGAAGTTTTCTTGGACTCTGTAATTATTACCGGCGTTTTGTGAAGGACTTTGGAAAGATTTGCCGACCGCTGCATACCTTGACTGAGAGGACAATTCCTTCGTTTGGTCCTCAGACTGCCAGCAAGCATTTAATGCCTTGAAGATGCATTTGACCAGTGCCCCTTTGGGTATGCCAGGACTGAGGCACTGGTAAATTCTTGATCAGATCAGACCACTCAGCACTTCGGTGGCTCCTCAACTTCAAAACCCCAGAAAAATAAATAGTCGGGTGGCTCAAAAAGTTACAAACTTACGATTTTGAAATTCAACTTCGGAAAGAAAATAGTCACGGAAACGCAGGTAGCCCAAAAAAGACCATGCTTGACATCTACATGTGAATTTTGTTTACGCCAGAGGCTCAAGGATACCCAGTTACAAGGAGAAGAAATTTCCACCAGACGTGACAAGGTAGCGGACAGAGAATCCTTCATGGACAGCTCTGATAGGGAGATGAGCTTTTCTATCTCTCGCTGCTTCGGGTTCCCTATGACCTGGAAGGTAGCAACCTGTAAGGGTCCCTTGTCCAGAGATACAGAAGATATGTGGAATTACTTGATCATAGTCTGATACGGTCGTTAATAGCTTCCAAGGGTGATACTACCTTCATGACGAAGCAAGATTTTATCGTAGCTCAGAAGGGGGATTGGGCCTTGAAAATTCGGAATAAATAGAACTTCAGCGAGAACGCGTGAGACGTACGTACGTACAATTGCCGCCGAGACATGAAGCGCTGTGACCTGTGTTCTTCGAGAAATGGTTCGAAGACAAGCCAAAGAGAGAGGTTGAAGCAATACCTCAATGGGTGCCCTTTCGAGAGAAATGCAGTCGATATTCAGGGATCACTTCCTATGACCATATCCGGTAACAAGTTCCGTATGGTTGTGATGGATTATTTCTCCAAATGGTCTGAAGTAGTGACCTTACCCAACCAAGAGGCTAAAACGGTGGCAGAAGCTCTGTTACAGACCGTGATTGTGGGACACTGGCTACCCCAGGAATTACACTCGGATCAGGGCCGCAATGACTTTGTTGGGAATAAAGAATACAAGAACAGTCACTCTTCACGCACAATCCGATAGAATGGTCGAGAGGCATAATCGCACCATCAATAACTCCGAAAACTAAAGAGACTGGGATAAATTGGTTCCTCTCTTTCTGTTGGCATACAAGAACAAAAACTCCCAACATGACGCGACAGATTACATGCCATCCATGTTGTCAACTGGTCGAGAACTGAAGCTTCCGATAGAAGTAATGTTTGGCAGCCCATGTGATGTATCGCGAAAGGGACCCCTTTCAGAGCATATGAATGATCTCATAGAGAAACTGGATATTGTACACAAATTTGTCAGACAGGATGAAGATAAGATTTGACAAAAAGTCGCTGCCAGTGAGCTTCCAGGAGGGCGATGCAGTGTGGCTCTACCAACCCCAACGCCGGAAAGGTTTGTGTCCCAAATTGCAGAGACCATGGCAAGGACCTTATCTGGAAACCAAAAAGATAAACGATCTGGTGTACAGAATCAAATTGCCGTCACTCATAAACAAACCTAAAGTTGTCCACATAGACCTACCAAGTTCTTTTATATGGGTATGTTCCTTCTTGAAATGTTGTTCGGGGCGAAGAACCTCAGGGAAGGGAAAACTGTTTTGTGATTCATCCCCTGAAAAAAGTAACGCCGGTCGCCGCCAATCGATTGTGACTTGGCCAAGGCCGCGCTCAGCTCGACTTTCAATTCGCAATCGTTCTAGATGTCGCGTCGCTTCGAGAGACTTTCAGTGACTTCCTTATCGGCTTCCAGAAACTTTTATTACGATATATAAACACTACCAATAAGCAGATCAAGAAGTTTACTTGAAAGTCTGTACGAAGTGATCCAAAAAAGGCGATAGACACTTTACTGTTTGGGTCAGATCTTTCCTGCACTGATGATAGGTAATGCCTCGAAACAGGTCTGAAGCTGTTAAATTCGAATAATTTCAGCATGGTCCTGCTGCTGGAGGAACGAGAAACATCTGCAAAACTAACCTCTGTGAGATATCTTGCTTAAATGACTATAGGATACAATTCAATATCNAATATTAATACTTTGAGAGGATATATGGGTGGTAAACCAGTTGTATAATGACAAAAAATAGTAGGTAATTATTCAAGTATATTTTTTAACAAAACAATCTTTTGATAATACGGCAGCATTTTTTTTTACAAAAATTATAGAAAATAATACAAACTATCACAGACATTACACTAAATACAAGTATTTTAACTCTGTTCCTATATCGCTTCCAATCTTTCAAATCATTTATATAGGAAAATTTATTTCTCACATCTTCTGGTAACTCAAACTTACTTGGGTGCGGAAATAGGGAAAAATAAAAATCATATAAAATAGCTTTGACCAATTCATTTTCATCTTCTTTGGTTTCATCAACATTATCATTGAGGCAAACGAATTTCCTAAAAAATAAAAGATTATAAGCTATATTTATTCAAATAAGAGGAGTGCAGACATTATTAGTCTAGGTCACTTGTCAATATATACCATACTTGAAAAAACAATATTGTATTCGTAAGTACCGAAATTTAAGAAAATATGGAGAGAAGTATGGTTTGCAGATTCAGGTTTATTGAAAACAATTTTCAAAGTTTAAATCCAAAACAAGCACTTCTCCCGAGCATCAGAAATGCATCACTCTTCTCACTTTCTTTAAAATGCCAAGTCTGGTGCTGGTGGGAACTTCATAGATGACCACCACAGTAAATTTCAATAACTTCTTTTTTGTCTAGATCTGCTGTTTCATAAAGTAATCCTTAAGCTTCGGGAGTAGTATATCTGAATCTACCAACTTTATGGACATTTCAAAATCCAAGAAGTTAACTAATTTTTGTAATATTTCATCTAATTCATTCAATATCTCATCATATTTTTCTCCATTGCCTTCCTATCCTATTTGTTTTCGCAGTCCAAGGACTTTTTTGTTCTAATTCCAATACTTTTTTGCTCACAGAACTGATAACTGCTTCGGCAATATTATCAGCTATATTTTTCATTAATATTTTGTCTTTTAGGAGATTGCAGATAGCATTATTCACAGTAGATTAAATTTCCTCTGTCATATCTTTTGTTAGAACCATATTCAATCGATCTTTTCACAGATACCTCTTAGCAGAGCATCGACTACTCTCCAAATATATCACAACAATATGGAAACAAAGGAAACCTGGAAATTGTAAACTGGCGAGAAAACAAGATGATTTTGATTGAGTAGAGTCCCAAACGTAACTTATTTTTGTTGCAATTTGTTATAATTCCAGTCGTAACCTACTTGAAGTATCCAATTATCCCACAGGTCGAAATGGATAAGAACAAACACATAACTGAGCACCTGATCGCTCTTGTATTTCACACCAACTTCAGGTGCTGACTGTCCCGTCATCTTTTGTACTGTTTTTTCTGCCTTTTCAGTTACTAGATCTTTTGACATTGACCCATAAGAACCCGTAGAATACAGGAACATAATCCTTGAAACTCGATGGAAACAAGATTGCAAGATTGCATGTAGTGAAACACTGACTCATGTACAACATAGGCCAAAAATTGAAAAATGAACATGCAAAAATTAAATTGGCACTTGTTGCTATTTCTAAAATACAATTTATTTGTTATATTATATAGGAATTCATTGTATTGCTATCGACAACTTATTCAAGAAGTCAGGGGATGGGATTTTCTTAAAATAGAAACACTTATAATGGAAGAAAACCATGAAAATCATTTACCTCATGTTGCTTCTTACATCATCCAAATTGCGTACAACATCGCTTACGTTGGAATTGATCATTGCAAAAAAAACATTATTTTTTTCAGAATTTGCAACTATACTGTAGTTATATTTTGATTTTGTTCCGAATCTTTGTACTAAAATTTCAGTCAATGAGATACAACTTTTAACTAAGATTTTGGATATTGTTGGCTGAAATAGAAAAAAACATCGAGATTATAGCATGAACTATAAATTAATTTTGGTGCTTTCAACGCATTTTGATAAACTAAACTAAATAATAAACCTTGTATAACAATATAATGATTGAGAAAAATACTACTGAATTATTTACGATTGTTTAATTTGGAAAGTATATCAAATACGTTAAATAACTAAAATAATATACAGAGTTACTCCTGGAAACCCATTAGATGCCCCACAGAAACAGTTTAATTTCTTTTGACAATTCGGTAACATGATCTCCTTGATGTACTGAAATTATTCACAGTATAAATAACTAGCTCAAAGATCTTAAAAATTGAGGGAACTTGTCTAAAGCAAACAGCTAAATATAAAAGAAAATGATATAAAAACATTCCTAATATTTTTCATTACAAAAACAACTTTCTCGTGACACTCTTTGAGAGATGGGTTAAGATGATCATCGCAGCTGTAGGCAAAATGTACAGTAATATCTCTTTTTTATATGTGACAAGATACTTTTTCTTCTATAAATACTATCATTTATTTAATTTGTCTGTATCATCAAAAGTACATTAATTCATTTTCAATTTATATATGAAAAAACGTGTAAGATGTTATTCATTTTTCATTGTGGTCTTAGTCAGGGAAGTAACTGAGTGGAATGAATATTTAGAAGTTCATTCAAAATATTTATTGTTCTTAGCTTGATTTCTGTTAGAAACAGACAAATTATCAAAACAATTTTATGTTCTATAAGTTTCATTATTCATTACTAGCGACGAAAATTGTACTTTTATGGGAAATAGCAAATACATCGATTTTTCACTTTGTATATTCAAAAATTAAATTGAATAACTTGAACTTGAAAAAACTGCATGTTGTTTACGACGGTTTGAACATAACAATTTTATTTCATTGCTATTTTAAAAGATGAACTGTAAATTCTCATTCTATTAGACATTCATTTCCATGTTGCCAAGTGCAGTAAATAATAGAAAATCTCCATGACGATTTCAACAAGTTGGCAAGGCCTGGGAACCAGGATATACTATCCTTTTCACACGAACCGACTACTATCCATTGGATAATATAAAAAATTGAATTTGCTTATCAGATGTTGACATCACTGAACATCAGACCTCATATTTATGATAGAATTTTGTTTCAATGGTAGGTATCTAAGAGAATGTTAGGCACTCAACTGTTCAATGAAACATTTTTATACTTTTTCGATTCTCTGATAAAGAGTTTTACCAATGAGCAGTTTAACTCAGGAGCTTGATGAAGTTGAATCCTTTCGGGATACAACCGATTGATTTTCATGTTAGATTCAGCTATGCTGTACCTTATATCTATCTCCTTTTATTGCGTAACAAACTTCAACGTGTTCTATATCCATTTCAGACATAATATAAAAGTTGTCAATGTCAATCAGAAAAAAAAACAAAAGAATTCTTTTGACGTCAGATGATAAAATCATAGGTATCGCTTGGTTAGCGTAAGTTTCTACTTTTCAGGAGTTTCTTTTGTATGGAATAGGAGCTGATTAACAGAACACCCAACTTTACCCCCCCCCTTTTCATCTTTCAATAAAAACGTTTATGGTAGCAAGCAACTAATGAAAGCTTCCCGTGACTAGCCCTGTGTTAGTTTTTATCATTTTTGAAAAGTATACCAATTTTGAATCTATGTATCTTTCAAATGGAGGTGTAGGAACTTCAGGATTGATGCCATTTTGTGAACAATTCCTTAACAATTCTTCAAAGTGATCAATACTGGCATAACTTAATGGCAACTCATATAATTTTGTGAGCAACGTTCTTATTTCTCTGTCAGACCATGTGCTGAAAAAATTAAAGTTATGACAGATTTTATAGATGAAAAATATGAATAAAGCTTGAAAACAAAAACTGAAAACATTTTATGGCAAGTGATATGGTATTTTTCTTCAATATTAAAATTCTTCATTATTATGTCTAAATTTGATTTGAAAATAAATTGATTTGAAAAAGTCACAGTAATTTATTTCAGCATATGTGATTTGGTTATGTACAACTCACCTGGAATGATCTGTGTCGAATAAATCAAAAATTTGATCAACGGTGAGATTTTCTCTTTCAGACATAACAAAATAATAATAACTGAAAGAAAATTGCATGTCATCCTTCCTTCGTACTCGATTCCTCTCTGTGATGACAAATTCTCTGGCAAATGTGAATTGTAAATCACTTATTATATCTTTATCAATCAAAATTGGAGCATGTGATGGTACTTTTCTACTTCTGAAGCCATATTTTGAGTTGAAGAGTCTATTGGTATGTTGTAAAGAAGCACTATATCCATCAAATTGGACATTTGCTTGAGGTTCACTTACGTATCTTGTTTTCCTCTTACGGTTTTCTGTTCTCACTAATTTTTCTTTTTTCATGATCAATCCGTTGTGACGATTAACAGCATCGAAGATATTTTTTGTTTCATTTACGATATTTGATGTATTTTTTAGCAGGATCCTAGGGTTCATGAGAGATTGGTTAGGGCTCAATTTTTTCAAAAAAGTTTGGTAGAAATTAGACTTGACTTTGTTGATAATGTCTGCCAAGACAAGATTTTTTGTTTCGTTTTCAAAATTATGGATCTGGAAAAAATAAAAGATTCTTAAATGACTACTATTATGCTGTTGAATGGATCTTCTTCTGTTCTTCATGCCCAGGAGTTTTTTCACACTGTCTGTACTGAGTTTCTTTTCGAACACATTTGGACATTTTTTTATATCTGACTTTGAAGTAATTGTAGATGACAAGAAATAAGAGTTCTGATAGATTTCGTTATCACTAAGAATCAACAACAAATAATACTGTTTGATCAAATGCAGACAATTGGCGATTCATTTTCATAAAATTACCAGTATATTGAAAATACTTAACTTTTAACTAATGCAGAATTGTCTCACCTTCCCATTCAAATCAATACAATCGCCCCCATCCATCTGGCATTGTGATAAAAAACAGTCTTCATCACATTGCCCATCTGCTACATATATCCAAGGGCAATTGGAAGCACAATCCGGCACAGGCCATGCCAAATATATCAGAAAGCCTCTACCAGTAGTAAAAAAGTCTTCCAAATATGTTGGCATCCCCAGAAATATATCGTCGTTGAAATAAATGAATTTTTTTGATAAACTCTGTTTCCTGAAACATCTCTTTCAAAAAAATTGGGATCGTACTGCATAATATTATTCTACTGGCTGAGAGCAGGTTATATAACATCTACTCGGAATGTAGATCATTTCAATTACATGAAATCACCCTTGGAACATTTGAGTGTTGGAATTGTTAACAAACGGCACAATTAATTATTGAGCAGGTGAATTTATAATTGAAATCTACTATTTTTTCTCCTCGAAATATAAGAGTCTACCCGAAAAATGATGAGTATGACTTACACTCACCCTCCCTACTCTACACATGTACTCTGTTCGATATCCTAATCCAAGGTGTATACGACCAACGAGTGTCTGGAGTTTGGAGGGTTAAAGGAAGATTTGAGGAAACAGGGACTATCCAGCACAAGAAAAGACAAGTAGAAAAGAAAATTACAACAGATGAAGAAAATGAATGTAAGTCAGTACGAGGGACATTGCAAGAGAGTTGGATATAAGTCATCATTCCGTGAACAGAATTTTTTTTTCAATTGAAGGAATTCTTGGTCATATATTTTGTTACTCAAATGATGTTGTATGTTTTCAGCAAGCAGGTTAGCGATGTCATATCTATCTTCAAGCGATAGATTGTCTTTGATAAGATAAGGTATTTCGTAATTACCTTGTGTTCCCTTAATAGCATTCACTTTTCTCCAGACCTCAGTTAGTGGCGTAGAATGTTTTAAAGTGGAGACGTACTTTACCCATGATTCACGTTTGCTTTTTTTAATGATATATCTTTTGTAATCTCTAAGTTTGTTGAATTCGATTTTGTTTTCAATAATGAAATTCCTTTTGAGTTTATTGAAAGCCCGTTTGGTTTCCTTTATTGCTTTCTGACAATTCTCGTTCCATCAAGGTACAGGGTGATGTTTCTTAATCTCGGAGGTTTTTCCGATAGCTGTGGTTGCGGCCTCTGTAATGATCCCTGTGAAAGTTGCTACAACATGGTTGACGTCGTATAGGGAAATGTTCGTTATGTCGTGTATTTTTGATTCCACCAGGTCACTGTATAGGGCCCATTTTTGGCTATCCACATCTTTGAGTCCGCCATTTTGGACGGAATTCTTGTCTTGTCAGCTGGGTTGGGTAGTTATTTATTCTGATTGGAAAGTGGTCACTATCATATAAGTCAGGTAATACCTCCCAGGAGAGTTTAATGAAGAGTAATGTGTCACAAAAGAATAGGTCTATAGCTGAATGATTACCTGTCAGGGAGTTGAACCTAGTTTTTTCTCCGGTATTCAGTCACATCGAATTGGATATATTAATGAATTTTTCCAGTTCAATACCTTTCTGATTTGTATAAGAACATCCCCATATGGTATTATGAGAGTTGAAATCACTCAAAATTACATATGGTTTTGATAGTTGGTTAGTTATTGAAATCAATTCTGATATATCAATATCTTGGTCTGGTGGGATATATATGTTGCAGATGCACATTTCCTGCGGAGTTTTCACTATTACTGCAATGGCCTCCAGGTAGGTGATTAGGGCAACTTCTTCTGTATTAACTGAGTTTCTGGTGTATATGCTAACGCCACCAGCGGCTCTTACTGTGTGATTTCTGATTTTATGAAATGAATTGTAGTTTTTTACTTTATAGGTACGATCGTTTTTGAAGTTAGTTTCCTGGAGACAAATTACAATAGGTTGTACTTCATTGACCAGAAGTTGGAGCATCTCCATATGGGGATAGACCCCATTTATGTTCCATTGTAATATGAATGCTTATGATTATGTATGGTATTATAGTTAGATATGCTGTTTTAATAGGTTTCCAGGGATAATTCACTATCATTTTCTGATAATGTTAGGCTGGAACTGGTTTCAAGTTCCTGGTTGACCTGTTTCAGGATCTTTTTTCGAATTTTTGTGATTCTCATTTCAATACTTCTCTCTGTCAGGATCGGGTACATTTTTGATAGTGTTGCTAATAGGGTATGTATGTCGTTGGTATGATCTCTTGCCACAATCAAAGGATCTGATGACCCGAAAGAGTTTTCTAAAAAGCTGGTTAAAGTCGAGCATGTTTGAGGATTTGTCTTTTTCGAAAAGCTCTTTGGCTGGAGCAGTGAGATGTTCGACTGAATTTTCAAGTTGTTTTTTTTTATGTTTCTTGGGAATTTGTGCCGATGGTTTGGGAAATTCGGTGGGAGAAGTGTTTTCCAATGTAATAATTTCTATTGTAGGGCTAGATGCCTCAGACAAGGGTCGTTTCTGGGCGGTTGTGTTCAGTACAAGTGGTGGTTGTTAACTCCGGGGGGTTTCTCCTTCTTCTCTAAGTGGTATACTTGAGGTTGGTTGACCTTCGGTAGTTTCTGGACAGGAGGCTGAGACATGAACGTTTTCTGCATTTGAAACAGGCAGAAAAACAACCACAAGGTGTGTTATTGTTGGACAGACATTTAATAATATTAGGCGTGTTGCAGGAGTTATCAATCTGCGGGCTTTAATAAGCTGTCGTTAATTACAATTTCACTGCTTCGAATCATGAAAGTATCGACTACGTTTTGGCTGGACAGATAAATGCATACTCTATTGTTTGCTATTTTAGAGGAGAATATAATGTCTTTTGGTTGTACTTTGTTTCCAAGAGCGAGTACATAATCTTGAATTTTCACCCCTTCAATGGAGGGAAAAATAATGGCTTGCTCTCTCGAGGGAAATCTGAAGCTCTGTGTAACTATTAAATAAGTTTGGGGTTGTGGGTTCATTGAGAGAATGTTACTCTGTAGTTCAGTTCGAGTACCCCTGTAGTCAGAGATATCCATGAGGTTGGTTTCACTCGTGTCCATTTCAGTAAGTATTATGATTTGTATTAGGATTTGTATTACTTACGAACATTACAGACTGCTATTAGTGAACTTCGTATATGTACACACGTTTTATTCAAACGATAAAATGTTTTTCAATGTTTTTGTTGTTTTACAAAGGTAAAAAATTATCAACTTATTCAGAGACAACCGAAATGTTCACGGATCGTTTGTTGTACTTCTAGTGGTATAAACTGTGGGAACATAATTATGAAATGTTTTGTTTTTGAATGCATACATACATAAACTATGGAAGTATAATGTTCGACTATTACTAAGATCTTCGGAATATACAAGATTAGTGTGATATGATTTTTTTTTCTTCAAGATTCAGAATATAGTTCTGTATTACGTTCAATTATTGCAAGGAACTCTTATACATTGCTCCTATTGCTGTAAATTACATCTAACGTAATCGCAAAACTGGCAAAAAAACAAGTAGGTAGTTTACTTATTTATATCTGCTAATATATAAATGGAAATATTTTATGTACTTACGAGTGAAATAAACTCACTTGCAGTGTTCACTAGAAAAACACATAAATTTACTAGTCGGTTTGCCAATTATCACTTCAATTTTTAATTCTTTTGCTATTTTTAGATCTTCTGGAAAGTTATTAATTTTTTGAAATATAGTTATTTCACTAGCTCACTGAATAAATCAACTATTTCTGCAAAGAGGTAATTTTGAAATAAACAAATATTACAATGAATGAAGGAAACAATTCCGGCCCCAAAAAACAACTCAGTGCTCCTCTGAATAGGTCATCAAATGTGGTGCACCACAACGCCAAACTTTATTTTTTCTTTATACAAATGACTTAGCTGATATATAGAATAAACAAAAATTTTGCTCCTATTTAAATATTCATGAATTATAAGTTAGTCTTGTTGAATAATTTGTTGGATTCAAAAGGAATAGTTTTATGAGAGATACGTTTTGGTTAAAAACAAGCTTTTTGGCTTTATACTTTTCCATCATTGAACAAAAATTGTGGGAAACTTCCAAAGAAAGGAAGAAAGAAAACTACAATAAAAATTCTTCATGAAGATATACTTGTATAGATCATACACATGTAGTGATGTCATATGAGTACTCTTTCATACATGATATTTGTTTAGATTTCATAATGTATGTTTGGCATAGAAACTAAATAGAGAAAAGTGATTTTGGTGTAATTCAATGTTCATATAATAGTACTTGGTTCGAAGACTTTTCTTTTCGTGTAATTCAATGTTCATGTTGAAGTACTAAGTTGGCTTTTTAATTTTGAAGTTTCCAGTTGATGTAAAAGTTGAAAGCCAAAAAACTTTTTTGACAAAAAACAAATCACTACTAAAAATATTCCTTTTTCAATATAGATGCTTCAGAATAATCAATTTCATCTTTTTTCAAATATACTTTATAATATTATCAATAGTTTGTAAGAATAAATTGAAAAAACAATCCTGAAATACAAAATATAGCATAAAAAATTACATCTTTGTAAATGTGTTCTTGGTGTATGTACAAAATTTCAATAATTTCACCAGAATATTAATTGCTATAAATTTGAATGGTGGTATATCTGTAACGTGGTGTGATAGTTATAGCTTCAGTGTTATTGATATTTTGCTGAGTTTATTGATGTTGAGGCAGTGATAAATGTTTGTACATTCAAACAAGTTGAGCATTTTTATTTCAGTATGACTATACAACGAAATTATAACAATAAAATATTGTGTCCAACATGGTCCAACATGGGAAAATCAGGAACCATGAGAGATATAAAGTTGATTAAATTAGGAAAAAGTTGCCTATTTCAGAGGTTATTCAAATGAAATTTTGAAATTTAGGAGATTCCAATGATTTATTAAAATTTGTTTTTCCGTTAACCAGCTGTCACACCCCTACGAATGATAACCCGAGCGAGCTAAGGATTAACGAGGTCTTACTTTTTAACGTGTGATTCCTAACACATTCATTCATTTAATTAAGTGATTAACCTCATTATACTAAAAATTACATAAAAAATGTTGGCTAATATATAAATGTATAATACAATCAACAAAGAATAGATAATGCATTATACAAAATGTAACACTATGAGAAACAATATCCTTAATTACAAACTTCTATTCCCTGAGATATTACCTAAATATTTTGTAAATTTGTTATGAGATATCCCAAGTATGTCTATATCCCTGTCATTCACTAATTTTGCAGTTCTCTCAGTAGTTCCTGAGATATTCAAAATTCACCAAATTCATTCGAATTATTGTTTGGCAACATCGCGCTCCTATAAGTTATGAACTTTTAAAAAGCAGGAAAATTTTGGTTGTGTCAGTCTTTTAGACCCTCAGTATATGTAAATGATTGATAGTAAAATTTTATTTCAAATGGAAAAATTAATATTTGTCACTGGTTCGCTCAGGGAGTGATTATGAAGTAAAAATAATAATTTGTAATCAACCAGAAGTGAATGAAACAATAATTCACAAACCTGTGTAAATTACTTTCGATGGCCGGACTAGAAAAGGTAGGTAAATTGAAAGTATCTTTGAAAATTTCTTCATGTGTTACAAGTGTTACTTTTTCATAATCCAAATTCAACCATGATGGTATTTGTCCATTAGTAACTATATAGACATGATTTACCCAAGGAGCATATTTTTCCAAAGATCTGAAATTCAATTTTCAGTATCACCTAACTCAATTTACTGACAACTTTCACAAACTATCAATTACCTTAGTGAAAATTTGAGTTCCTCTTTATCATCAAACCTTTGTTTTGATACATCATATAGATCACTTTCTGCCTCAATGTAATTTTCTAGATTTTGGAGAAACACTGGGTCAGAACCATTTACCCATGTATACACCACATCTACAGCTTCCTGAAGTTGACATTCTAGTTTATTCTTTTGAAGTCCAAAATAAATTATCTATAACATTAATTAGTTCAGTATTGGGTGTTGAAATAGATATATAGACTGACCATGAAAATAAAAAATGTAACTGTCAGAAAAAGTTTAAAAAAGGAAATTCGCTTATTCAGGCGAAGAATAACCATTTCTGTGGGATGCAGTGGGTTTTCAAGGAATCATTAAAAAGTGTTGGGAATTACCAGTAATAGTTACACAACATATATTTATAAGAACTATTTTTTCAGTTAGCTTTATCATAAACACTTCGTTTGTTTCTCTGCACATCACGACTTTAAATTCAAACAAAAAAAAATTTAAAAACCAACTTTTTATCAAATAATATGTTTATTGAGGTTATATTATTGTGTTTAACTTCTTTCTCTTTCTTTCCGAAATATAGTTGCCAACCTCTGAGCAAATGAGTTTCCAGTCGACTGGACCAGAAACAGTGTTGCCACAAGCTATCTTTTCATCGAGGTAGATTTCTGAAAGGGAGCGGGGTAGAACCGGGGTGGAGCCACATTCACTTGATGACACCAATCACAGTGATGCATTGACGTACACCTATGATTGTCATTCTTTGTTCTATGATCAATTTGACGATCGTAATCAAAAACATAAGTCACATGTCATCGAATCCAAATTTGGGATCAATGTGTTTTCAAACCATTCCTCAAAAATATTAGCTTTCATGGTCTTATGATAGTCAACATTACAGTCCTCAAGTTTTTTCCATATCACTTCAAAGAATTCGAACCCATCCTTTACTTCCTCCGCAATGAATAATGATTAGTCGCGATCCTGTGTTTGCAGGCTTGTTAGGTGTACACATTCTTGAACCATCAGTCCACCCTTTCGTAACTGTGTCGTGAGTGTTCGTGAGTGTTATACCAAGTTTAGTCCAAATAGAAAATTGGCCGTTGTTCTTGTCTATATTTAGTTATTTGTTCTGAGTATTTGTTACGCAATTCCAATATTCTTCTGCTTTCCATGACTGTTTGACGTTTGTTTATTATTTTAAATCTAAATCCTAGTTTCTTTATCCAATTCTGAAGTGTTTTGTCACAGCAGCTCACGTTATGGCCGGAAGTATTCTATTTCTTCTTTATGATTTCTGTTGTAGGAATCTCATTGCTTTTGTAACAGTCGTAAAATTAATTGGCGCCCCAGGACTACAAAATGTAGGGTGTCTCCAGAGGCTCCAATGAATTCAATACATCGCCAGAACACTTCGTGACACGACTATCGTCAAACTTAAACCAGTTCGTTTCGTCTTTGACAAAGGCGTAATAATGACCAAATTCAATGCCAGAACCACAGTGAACAATGACTGCGTGAATATTATAATAGTGGTCTGCTAGATTGAAGTGTTCATCTATTTCGAACCTTCGAAAGTGTTTGGTGATTCCGTCAGAGATTGAGTCTTGTTTGAAGATTTTCAGTGTTATTATTAAATTGACTGGTTGTTTGACCTGAGGGTATATTAATCTGTAAGTGAATTTAAGGCTTGGTTGAGGGTATATTAATCTGTAAGTGAATTTATAGCTTTGTTTTCTGACTAACTTCTGGATAGTATCTACGTTGAAACCATTATTATGACCTATCTGTGTAATTATATAAATTTCCCTGCTAACCTAGCAAGCGTGTTTTTTAGTCTTTTTGAAGTATATTTATTTTATCTAAACTTTGGGATCGATCAGCCTATAAAAAAATGGCCATTGATATTTTTCGATTCCGGAGAGAGAGCCCGAAAATCAGCTACCAAGCCCAAGGAAGGCAGCAGGCGTGCAAAGGAGTGTTACAACTAAGGCAACAGGCGCGCGTGTTAATAAAAAATATGTTTTCAAATGAAGAAATACATGTAAAGTGAATTCAAATTATATCAAGGAGGTAACGTACAGCGCCATCTGCCCGCGAATAGATCAGGCAATCATGTCGATAATTCTGTCAAATACAGATCCCGAGCATTCAAACGGGAATAAATATGAAATGAAAAGGGGAGTAAAAAACACACATACTTACATATACATACAGGTGAAGCTAACAATAATATGTGAATGAAAAAGTTGTCAATTGGGAGAACAAAATAAAAATGGCATAGAATGCAGTCGAAGGATTCCCCGTAAAACATAAAAAGAAAAGGGTAGCCAACTTGGGACATTGAAATTGTTTAGTTCTTTATTTGAATAAAAAAAAACAATGTTATATAACACGTTGTTCGAACCCCGTTGTTCCCGCCCCTGTAACGCATCGTAACGTTTTACAAGACCCCCTCCCCTCAAATGCGTTACGGTATACTTAGGAGGTAGTTACTTTTCAGAACAGTTTTTTAAAATGAAACAATGACCGGCAACCCTGGATTATTTATGCACGGGATCAGCGTTGTCAGATTTACGATTTTTTTGTCGATACATCATTACTATCGTATTAAATCCATTACTATTGAATATTCGGTTCAGTACCAAGATATCTTTTTAAGTAGACTTGGTGAATAGTGACTTCAACTTCAACAAATGGAGCCAGCGCCTTCGAAAAAATTACCAAATTCTGTGTCTGGAATTATGTGTTTGACGTTTCGGTTCCGATTTAGGAGCCATTTTGACATCGGGGCCCCAATCTGTCTACTCCCCAGGTTGAGTCACGAGTTCTTTCTGAGGTCTCAATCTGCCTACTCCTTAGATCAAACTGGATTCGAACAGTTTGATCTATTGTGGGGCTCCGTTTTGTGTTAATTATTGAAATGTGTGTTTCCAAAAAGTGAAGAGTAAGGGGCCACCTCGGTATCCAAATCTGTGAAATAAAGAATACAAAAGGTCCCCCTAATAAGCGGAACTTGAGGCGACTTAATGAAAAATGAAATACGTGTTTCTATAACAGAAAAAAATTGAAAAAAAAAATGTGTATAGTTTAGCTAGAACCAGTGTTGCCACTCTTGTCGGAACCTGTTTGTGTCTAAGATATCTTATTTGTGTCTCACAGTTTAATTTTTTTAGGACTACTGCGCATCCATAATTACCCTTCACGAGTGGATTTGTCATTTCATACACTGCTCAACAAGTAGATAATAGATATAAACTGCTCAACAGTAAAACAAATTCCATGAAAAATTAAATGGGTGTTCTGTAATAATGTAGATTATTATGAAACGCTTTGAATTTTTTATTCAAATTGTTCTACATTTTTACTCGCCCCTTGTCTGTTTGGTTCAAATCTTGCAATCGATTTGAAAATAAATTTTCGAGGAGCTAAAGAGACTTGCATCTTCAAACATAGCTCAAAACTGAATGAAATACAAAATTTTTGGATTATGTAAAAATAATATATATTGTTTAAAATCGAACATAGTACGGAAAGCGTGCCGGAGAGTTTCTAACGAATGAGAAGAATTGATTTGCTTGTCCAACCCAGCTATTTTCCACTAAATAAAGAATATTTATTGATTTTTTACAAGTATCACTTCAAAAAGTTAAGAGATTCCAAGCCAAGTTAATTCACGACGTTTCGATTGTTAGTATCCACAATCGACTGATGACTAATGAAATTCATCATGAAACATTGTCAATCACCTTCAAACAAACGTTTTTGTTTTAGTTATTTGTTCGTATATTGGTGATTCCTATTCCAAAATAAAGTTCTTCTTCTGTGAGGAACATTGCACAATGATTATTTTGATATAATTCAGTACACGTCATGGCGTTAGTAAGGGGAGTAGTCGATCATACAGGTGTTTGCCATAACGTCCTACATGGGGACTAGAAACAGGGAACAACTGTGGTTTCTCAACGACTTCCCAAAAAATATCTAAGCTTGGTGTCAGTGTATGAATATAATAATAAACAAAATTTCAGTGATAACAATATACCATTACCATTCATCAATAAAATATTTTCAGAAAATTGGGATGAGTGTAAAAGAGTTAGGAATCTTTTGTAACTGTGATATATAAACTATGGTCAGTTTTCTCAACGATAGCTCTCGCTATACTCATTACTGCATGTATCTCACGTTTGTTATTCTGAATATTACTAGTATTTTCAAAGCTATTGCGATAACTCCTAGGCCACTCCTATGAGGTGGCAATAGTTGACCTTCATCTTTCAGATCATTATACTCACAATTTTTGAAGATTACTTCTGATCTGCAACATGGAGTCAGTAATGGTTAGAAAAATAATTTTTCTTATCGTCGTGACCTATGTAATGAAAATATCTTAAGATTTCGTAATTACTTATCACAAGACGACTGAGCAGACGTATATGCCCAACATATTATTTTGAAATATCGTTCCCAAAAAGAAGAATGGCCTTAGGCCGATCAAAAAAAATACTTCACCCAAAATAATTATGACTCGTGAAATAAGGGAGCTAAAAAATAAGGTTTCGTTGTTTAATACATTAGTTAGGAATGATAATAGATATACCTAAAGGAAGAATGTAAAAAATTCAATGAAGAATACAGAGGGAAACTGCAATCGCTGAATAGACACTATTATGATTTGATATTAAACCAACGCAACAAACCTAAAACAACATGGGCCATACAAAAAAATTAAACTATGGAACATCGTGAAATAATTATAACAGTCAATAATAATCAATTTTCAGATGAAATGATAGCTGAAAAATTTAATCTACATTTTACTAGGACCATATCTGAAAACTTCTCTGTTGACACGAATTTTCTCGAGAGCATTGTCACCTTAAATAACTCAAACTTTTTCATATTTCCAAATTGCTGAATGGGAACTCGCACAAATCATAAACAGATTGAAAAACTCTAACTCCATTGGGATCGATGAAATATTCAATGAAATAATTAGAATTTGCTTTGGTGAACTATGTGGTGTACTGAAGTTTTTTAATTAACATATCAACCTCAAAAGGCATTATTCCGACCAATCTTGCATGAACTTGCGAGTGTATCTCATATTTTAAAAAAAGATGATATTAACAATATGGATCACTATAGAGCAATTAGTATTATTTCAAGTATCTCGAAACTCTATGAAATTAACATAAAAGAACTTGTTATCGCCCTCACATCATGATTTCACTAAGAAAAAAAGCACTGATAAGGTACCATGTGAATATCAAAAATAAATGTATTTTAGGGTTATTCATTAAAAGTTCACGAGCGTTCCATTGTGTAAACCATGATCTTCTGTTCGACAAAGTCTTAAGATATGATGTAAGAATACTTACACCCTGTACTTACTATACTTATATAAGAGAAGACAAGTAGTCAAAGTTGGAGAGCTATTAGGATCATTGATAAGATAAGATAAGCGTTAGATAAGATAAGATAAGCGTTAATTTTTCAGGATTTGAAAAGCTTACGCTAGCAGGAGTATACATAATGGAAGCTTGCACATATATCTATCGAAATAGAAAGACATTAGCTGCTAACAGAGTCTATATTAATTCTACCCGAAATGCCCACTTATCATTACCTAGTCAACATCGCACTGTTCTTTACTGAAAAAGTCATGAGTTTCAGCGCTGCAAACTTTTTTAATACACTTTGAAAATGTACATATCATTGAATCAAGATTGAAGCAACTTCTTTTGCCAAAGAACTGCTACAGTATTGATGAGTTTTATCTGTAATTCAATACTATATGTATATTCAGGAAATAATGATTTATTATTATATTTATGTGGTATACTTCTGCTCCTGTGGTACAGATCAATCTGAGTAAATAGATTTAAGACTGTATACGACAGTAAGAGAAATTATTTTATTGAATTTAATTCAATCGAATTATTCATTAAGCCCTGGATGAAAATATATAATTTGTATCTGCTACCAATACACCTCTTGAATATATTGAAAAATATAAGTACAAAATATAACATTTTCAACCTATTCAACCACTTATCTTTTAAAATTGGTCACAAACTAAGGAATGCTGAAATCGTTATTTGCAATTCCTTTGCAAACTTCATTCTATTGGTAACATCTTTGTTGTTTTATTTTAAAACTCTCATTTCTCTAAATATTGTTTTCATATCTTTCAAAATACGAATAGAATTTGAAATAAATCAGGACTTGGAATATTTCTGGCGAAGTGGTAATATTTATTAGCCACAAGAAAACTTATCTTTATCATGATTCAACAAGCGAAACTGGCGAAACGTTGTCTGTCTAGTAGGCCAAAAGCGGTAAATTCCATGAAAAATTTCAGCTTTGAGAACGTTGCCGATTATCGAGGCAATTCACGGCGCCACCAAAAACTTTCCTCTATGATTTGATCATGCGCACTGTGATGTAGTACCAAAAAGTGGAGATAATACACTACTGGGTCTTTAGCATTCTCCTGTGGTTGGGTCATAAGTTAATGCTTAAGTTCATGTTCTCATACTGTGGTCACAGAATATCGGAACTACACAGAATATTCCGATATTCTGTGCTGTGGTACGACTAGCCATCTAGTATGTGTCGTGAGTTTTGTCGTGTTTACTATTGTGTGATAGTGAGAGCACCCTATAGAGTGTTTACTTCTATGGTGGTGAGAGTGTAGTGTTCGTACAAACCGAAGGCACCGTATATAAGTAAACATCAAATAGTTTATCTATTTGAAAGGTTGCCCTTTTCTGAACTTTGAAGTGCCGTAACTTTGTAAATAAGGGAGAGCGCAGCTTTTTTCTTTCGGATTCGTAATCTATGCATCAAAATACGTAAGTACACTCAAACATTTTTTTCAAAATCGATGGTGCCTCAAAACGAATATTTACCATAAATTTATATAATACCTGCTTCCATTCACGCCGGTTCGAGGCCGGGCCCGATGTCCATGTGGGAGTCGGATCGCAACAATAATTTTTTATAAAGTTATTTATACTTATAGCCAAGCATAGTAGAACTCCAACCCAGTAGCACACTATTCCGAACATAGGCTTGCAAGCTGCAAGACAGTACGTAACAGCCAGTTACGTAACAGGAGGAGCATTGGTCATATGCGCCTGAAGATACGAAGCAAGGACCATCCAAAATATACAGAGAGAGAGAGAGGTTGTTTTGTTTATAACTGGAAATTTGGTGGGCACGTGGGTTTTAATACTGAATAGTTGAAATTTTGAATTTTACATCTATTATTTTTGAAAAAAAATGGAAAGTCCTGAAAATCAGTTGACCTCTTGGGAAAATAGAAGAGTTGGCAGAAACAACCGAGAATCTGGTCTAACTCATGAGTGTGGAGTTTTTGGAGCCATAGGAAATGAACATTGGCCAAACAATTCAGAAATAGCTCAATTTATTTGTATTGGCCTCGAAGCATTACAGCATCGGTATGTTTTCCTGATCTCCTTTTACAGAAAATAATTTCATTCCCTTTCTAACATTTGCATTTTTTTTGTTTTCATAACATATTCTTAAATGACTCAAAATTAGAGATTTTGGTAGAAAACAAAAACTTTCAATCAATTTTTGTTGATTGATTCATGTTTATTTCATTTAAATATTGTAGTTGATATATGATTTGGTTATGGTTATTTGTAGGGGCCAAGAATCAACAGGTGTTGTAACCAGTGAAGGAGACAATGACTTTCATATTCATAAAGGAATGGGACTTGTTAAGCATGTTTTCAACAATGACAGTATTACTAAACTTAAAGGCCCCTTAGGAATTGGTCATACCAGATATTCAACAAGTGCAAGATCAGAACAGCTCAACTGTCAACCTTTTGTTGTACATTCAATGCACGGGACCGTTGCTGTAGCTCATAATGGAGAGCTAGTTAATGCTGCTGTTTTGAGAAAACAGGTGTGTATTTATGTGCTTCCTTGCTTATTTACTGAATCTTCAGAAGTATCTGTCAACCAAGTAAATATATTAATGTCTGCGGTAAATGAAATAGTCAAAAATTACTTTCAAAAGGCATCTTTCCAAATTGTTTTGAAAAAACAATAGTTTTTCCAATAAAAAGGTATATGAGTAATTATAAATCAATATTGTACCAAAACTACTTGAATTGCAAATAGTAGAGGAAAAAAGACTTGAAAATTAGCTCAACATTTGGGCATAATTCGTGAAAATTTGTATAAAGTTTTGATTATGGTCATAAGAACAAGGGTCTAAGGAATCCCCAAAAAATAAATTTTGTTTTAATTTTGTGTAATAAGTTTGTTTAATTCTTGTAGTATTGAGAATAATCAGTTTACGGTCATATGTACAAACTTTTTAAACCTTTATCTTGACTATAAAATAGGGGATTATACTATTTTGAAAACATTGTCATTTATAAAATGAATACAACTTTGCATTATCATGTAGTTTATTTTTATGAATAATATTCATTTTCCAATTTATTTCTTTGTTAATGGTTGATAGATTGAGAAATGTTGAAAAGTAAACTTATATATATAATTTATTACATATTTTACAGTACATGTTAAAAAGTTTTGGTATAAATTCTAAACTATCATCCCCATGCAATCAGATATCTTTTGAAAGTACTTTTTAAGAATACTATGAATATGTAAAGCTAATGTTCACCTAATTTTTAACAGTAAAATTTCATTCAATGAACATCATATTCAAGGTTCTAGGAAGGGGAATAGGACTTTCAACACATTCTGATAGTGAACTCATTACTCAAGCTTTATGTTTGATACCACCTGACGGCGAAGTTAATGGACCCGACTGGCCAGCTCGTATTCGCCATTTAATGCAAATGGCACCTTTGAGTTATTCACTCTGCATTATGTTGAAGGATCGTATCTATGCCGTACGTGATCCATATGGAAACAGACCATTGTGCTTAGGTCAAATTATGCCTCCGAATGTAGAAGGTGATTTATTTGAAACTTATTGCAAAGTTAGGATCTTTCATTTCTGTATTTTCAGCACTGAGTGGCTACAAAGATGGAGAAATTTCACCTGATGGATGGGTTGTTTCTTCAGAATCGTGTGCATTTCTGTCAGTGAGTATTAGAATTTTTTCGTAGTAATATCAAATTTGAAATTATTCTATTTGTGATTAGTTAGAAAATAATATCTGTTATTCAGTAATTTGAATGTATTTATTTTTGATCATTTGAAATAATCCTTGCTTGGACTCATGACTGACTATTGCGCAGTCATTTCTACATCATTCTATTCCATCCACTACGAAAGTATACCACATAAAAACCTGTGTATATGACATAAATTGTATGATTTTCACTATAAAGGGTTTTACAAAAACCGTGACACGTGTTTCGCTATACAATAGCTTCCTCTAGCATAAACTGAAAGTTACTTCTAAATTTCAATAATTTCATACTCTAACCTATTACCTACTCGTCTATCAAATGAATGAATCTACCTGAAAAGGTCTTAAAACTTAAAATAATGACCCTATATTCAGTTATTGTCTACGAAAATCTGCTTTTTGTTCAACAAAACTTTATGGATATACACCAACATGATACAAGAAATAAATCAAACCTTGTTCCTACAGCTATTAGGTTGATAAGAACAGTTAATATAGGAATTAAGCTATACAATGCCTTATCTGTCGAATTTCGTAACTTGCCATTTAGAAGATTCAAAAACTCATTGAAGAAAATATTAACCAAACATCCTTGACATGAAATTGATCAATTTTTCGAAGTTATTCAAGAAGAAAGAGATACTTTTGTGGTCACCTCCCGAACTTTTACTCAACTTTGAATATATATAATATGTTAGCTATGTGATTTATAATTCGTAAAAGCTCATGGCTTTACATTTTAGTCAATTTTTATAAGGCTGAAATTTTATCTTGTTAACTTGTATTTTTTTGTAAATCTAATTTATCTACAAGCATTTTTTAGAAACTATATTGATGAATCTTATCCTCTCAAACCTATTTTAGAAATTGTATTGACGTGTCTGAAAACTGTGTGTTTCTTGAGACTAAGGAAATTATTATTATATTATTATAAAATATACCTAACTACTTTAACCTGCCTAACCTACTACAATCTGCCATGAATAAAGGCAGTGGTCTAACCGAGCAAGAACAATCCTATTTGTTTCATTTGAACTCCAGTCAACTTCTTGAATGACTGAATTATTATATTTGGTCTTCTTCCCAATTTGATTCACTTCACTGTTTTCAAGATGTAACTCCTTTTTGGTATTCATTGACTATTATTAACATCACCTCATCCAGCAGTACATTGTGGTTTGGGCCAGATGACCTCGATTAGGAGGCATCAACTAACAACTCCGAGAAGACTGAAAACTAAACAAACACACATCCACAATATCCAATCAGTGTATAAATATTAGATATTTGAGTTATGAGAAACAAAAACCAATGAAAATATCTGGGAATTACCTACACTACAAGTAACTCAATATTGATTTCTTCCCTGATGTTTTTAAAATAAAGATGAGCTGTATCTTTGCCTGAGAAGTGCCTTCTGTGTCTCATGGAAATTGAAAAAATTAACCTATGTTTGTATTTCAAGTACAGAACCATAATTCACACTTCGATTTTGATACTTTGTTTTCACCGCTATTTTTCTGTACATTTATAACAACTATACATTGATGATGTATATATAAACTGTCAAAGGTTCCGTTTCAACATTTGGATCTTCATTCGTGAGCCATAATATATCACAGAATTTTTAAAACAGAATTCTGATCATTTGTCTTACTACAGAATAAGTAACTGAAGAAAAAAATATAGATCATTTTGTTGATTTATTGGCAAATCTCTAAAGTGCATTTCATACTTGAAGTAACACCATCTGCAATCAAGACTTGGGTTATAGGATTATTTTGTATATTAGATTTGAATCATGACAGTTTTAATTAACTTGCAAAAATGTTTCAAGGTTACCAGATTTTTTCGAGAAGTCCAACCTGGAGAAATAATTGAGTTGTCTCGTCAGGGTATAAAGTCTGTCGATGTTGTACCCCCACCAGAGGGTAAATCCATTGCATTCTGCATTTTTGAGTATGTCTATTTTGCTAGACCTAATAGTATGTTCGAAGGTCAGGAGGTTTATTCTGTCCGTGTACATTGTGGAAGACAACTCGCATTAGAGCACCCAGTAGATGCTGATATGGTAGGTTCTGTTCCTGAATCTGGAAATGCAGCAGCCTTTGGATACTCTAAACAGGTACAAATATTACTTAATGTTGTGTTCATTTCAAGTTAATATTAGATACCTATTCTTTTACTCGTCTTTTTAGTCAAAAATACCACTTGGGGAACTATTGACCAAAAACACTTATGTTGGAAGAACTTTCATTCAGCCTAATAACAGGCTGAGGCAACTTAACGTGGCGTTGAAATTCAGTAAGTTTTATTTCTGTTGATTTTTTTTTCACAAAAAACTACTTTAATAAAATATTCAATTTACTTATAATAATATAATTTGTCGTATCATTAATAGGTATAGTTGAAGTTTATTTTTTGAGCCTGGCTATGTTTTCGACATTATTGTGTTTTGAATGATTTTGAAACTGGATTAACATCTCAGGTTGACTGATAACTGTATTTATTGGTTGGAGTTGATTGTGCCTCAGACTGTTGAATCGAATAAAATGATTCTATTTAAAAATTATATTTTCCACATTCATTTCTTCAATAAACCCCAACTAAACATCGTGATATTTTCGACAGAGAGAAAATGACAAAATTCACGGCATTCATTATTTCCAGAATGTTGAGCTAACTTTAATGCACCGTTTTCCTCTCCATCTGACTGTCTAGTTCAACTTGATTCTAATACTTTGTTCTTTATATACTTGATTTCTCTGGCAGAATAGAAGTTTGGAACACGTTTAGAAAGGTAAGAACCTTGTTTCAACTTATCTAAGTCTCAAGGAAAATTTGAGGAGTTTATAGAACTTCCAAGTTGTTAGATATCAATTTTTTTACTACAGGCTCAAATAAATATTCGCAACACAAAATTGTACCTCAATTTTTTCTTGCATCTTTCTTCTTTGTGACAAATTTCATTAATCAGAATATGATAAAGTTTATAATTCAATCAATTACAGGTGCCATTTTAACAAACGTGAAAGGGAAGCGTATAATCTTAATTGATGATTCCATTGTTAGAGGAAACACTGTTGGTCCAATAGTCAAACTATTGCGAAGGGCTGGTGCTAAAGAAGTTCACATTAGAGTGGCAAGTCCTCCATTGAAATTTCCCTGCTACATGGGAATCAATATTCCAACAAAGGAGGAACTCATAATGAATAAACTTCAAAACACAAAAGAGTTTGCTGAAAAAGTTGGTGAGTGATAAAAAATTCAACATGTGGAACCAATCGTTGAGATTTTGAAATTTCATCTAGTCTTAATAATGACAACTCACATAGTTCTTTGATAATAGAACCTTATAACTGGACTTTCAATGTTCAATGCTTAAAAAACATTTTTATCTAGAATGTAACAAAATGAATTGCTTTTTTCAGGCGCCGACAGCATTGAATACTTGAGTGTAGAAGGGTTAGTTAAAGCTGTCCAAAAAGATAGTGTTTCTTCAGGAAGACCCAGTGGTCATTGTACAGCATGCCTCACAGGAGAATATCCGGGTGGGCTTCCAGAGGAATTAAGTTGGTAGATTATTCAAAGAATTTTTAGTCAAGTAAAATGGGGAGGGAAACAAGTAGTGGCATACATTTTTGTACTTTGAAAGAGTAGAAATTGGTTCATGCCACATTTAAGGGTTGTGTAATATGGTTTACAATTGAAGTCACATTTCAGTTAGTTGTACTGTTTATAGGTTGGATTGCACCAATTCTTTGAAAATGAATATTTTGTTTCTATATTAATTGTATGCAAGCAGAATGAGTGGTGCTGCTGTTATTTTACCTGTTTTTTGAACTTTCTACATACTGTCTATGATTTTAATGTTAACCTTAACTTGAATGTGCGCTTCAGGACAACCTTTTTTTAATTTCACTGTTTTGAAAGGTTCCCAAGTAATTAGATGTCATGTTTCAAAAGGTCATCTAAACCTGTGGACATTTTCATATCTAATGATCAGGATTATTAGCCTTTAAAAGTAACTATTGATGAAACATGTTTATTTATGTTTGTAAATTCATTAATTTTATTTATTGACTCACTATTACCATTATAAAACAATACCAGAATATTGTACAGTACTGAAAGAAATTAACCTCAATATTTTCAACTTTGGGTTGAATAAGCAAAATCAGATTGGCTCAAGAAACAACAAACTATTATAAGCAAAACATTGCTTACTTCTTCGTTTATCTACTTATACTCTACTTAATATTAAGGAATATGCACCATGCACAAACTGTAAATTCAAAAAAACCTTGAATGTAGTTGTTACTATATACTTCAAAGTATATAGAAGTAGATACAATGTTCAAAGATAACAATTCCTTTGGTTACAGTAATTTTGACCACGTTTACATGAATATATAATATCCATTGCTATAACGATCATGGTTGGAAAATGCACACTCTGGAAAGAATTAACATGGATCGAACATACCTACATATTTATTTCTATAAAACATATCCCTGAAAACCATCATTGCCAACATAACCCATCTGGCTGATAGTCCATAAATTCAGCATGTTTGCTGTTAGAGAGTTGAAGTTTTTTTCTTATAAAATGAAAAACTTTCGGTTTATATCTTTGCGTTGGTAGGAATCTTTCTTTGTAGGACCATATTTCGACTTTCGTATTAGTGATGCCAGATTTTCAGAGGAAAAATGAAAGTGGAGTTGCACTAGTTATTCCTATTTTATTTTTTCTTAAATGATACCAAAAATTTTTATTCCGATTGTAAACTTTCATTTTAAATGCTCTGAAACGTACTTGCATATATTTGACAGTTTTCAGTGGTCATTTTTTGCATAGGCTCTATAAAAAAATATTTGATCAGTCTAAATCTTTTTTCTCTAATTTCATCCACCACTTGCCTTTTTCTTATTATTCCAAGTAAGAATGGAGGGTTTATCTCATCCTTTCGAAAAATTACTCTTTGACACATTATGAGATCACTAAATTATTACACTTACATGAAAAACTTGTTTTATAACGCCAATATTATTTCCAAAAGGTTTAGTGTTTAATAGCATTCAATGAAAATAGTTTGCATAGACATCAACATTAGTTTTAATAATATCAGTTGTTAGAAATCCTCATTTAAAATGCTGTGTAAATGTGGTCTATAATTTAAGAAATACCGTATAGAAGTAAACACAAGTAAATTCACTCCCGGTCGGCGTCTTTGATGTATCGGCTCGAGATTTTATTTTTTGTTGGCATGTGGCGGAGCAGCAGGGTGTAGACTAAGAGCTATCGTGCACCTTTGCACGAGGTTCGATCAAAAAATATGATATACAATTTAGGTCAAAAAATTATGCTAATTTATTCTATTTCAGAATATGAGTTTTTGATTTTATTTGTTTTTAAATTCCTATTGGTAAATTTCAAAGCATAATACCTTTTGAAAAGGGAAAATAAATAATCATAAGGAAAATTATCACAAGGGTGATAATTCTTGATTTTTGAAAACATTGTTTTGAGCTGGTTACCTATACAATCAGTGGACAATAAATTATAAAAATGATAAGGAAATTCTGTCTCTAGATGAATGATACTTCATTCATATACATTTGTTTCATTCAGTGTGATACTAGCCATCGTGGCAAAATTTGTACATACTTTACATGAATGTTTTCCTAAACATTTTCCCAAAAGATATCCACACACATAAGCCAAGTTGTTTCCTTCGAGAATGGCTAGAGTTCTATAATCATTTGTCTCTACTCTCAAAGGTTTATAGGGATTTTTTGGAACTTCTCCAAGAATCTTCACTCTATTTATGTCAGCATCTGTAATATTAAATAGAATCTCACTAGTATCTTCTAGCCTGTGTGAAATACTGAAGAGTAAATGTGTTTTTGAAAGCTCTGGTAATTTGAACAGGAGTTGGGTTTCTGGCATTTTCACAAGTATTTCTCTGTTGACCAAAATAATTTTCCACACAGTTCTGATTTATATTCCTCGTCAATATGTAGGAGTGTCCTTCACTATGTAAGTTTTCTCAAAGTTGCAGAAATGCCGAAATTGTTATCTGCCACCCCTCAATGAATCTCATTTGTCTAGTCGTGTTTTTTCCTTTTTTTTTTGATATTACAGTTAATTTGCTGAAAAATATATTCATTTCTTTCAGAAAATCAATTTGTTTTGATGTTCCAAAAAAAAGGTTTATTGAAATGTTTGACATCGTTAAATTGATTTGAATTCAAAATATCAAACGCTTTATCCATTTTTTCAACTAATGTTTCTCATTGAAACTGGCATAAGTATCAGTAAGTTTGAGTGCTAGTTTATATTGCTTTTCCTTATACAAGTTGTAAAGTTGTCAAAGATGACTTTTGTTCATTGTAAATTCATCAAATTTAAAAAAAGTCTTCAAAAAAATGGTTTCTGCTACATTTCAGCAGATGAGGAGTATCAAAAAAGTTAAATATTGTTTTCTTACCAACAAAGAAATATGGCTGATCTACAGTCACTTTGACATCTTTTCTGGCAAGTGTATAAAAATTAAAACCTAAATCTGAAATGATACCCCAAACTCTAAATCCAATTTTTGATAATTGCCTAATAGCTTCAATCACTTTTTATATCCAGTATTGATGTGGATGAATTGGTAAAAAAAAATGCAACAATAGGCTCCAAAAAAGGTTATTTGGTTTTGCAGAGATTTCAGTGGAAGTAATATTTTTCCTGTAGATACATATTAGCCAAATCAAAAAATGTGGATTTCTAGTGGAACTCCGATTGTTTTGTCATTTTATATCATTACTTGTGAGGAATAGATTTTATTGAAATAACACTTGAAGTATTCAAATTTGTAACTGAAAGTATTTGAGTATACCTAAGTAGTATTGCTTTTGATTGTTTACAAGTTTATAAAAATTGTTTTACAAAGTTTTTGTTTCATTTGAAAATTGTCCTGCAACCCCCCCATTTTCCACCGGTATACATAAGATTTTTTAGGTAAATATGTTCAGTAGTTCATACATTTTTACGTGGAACAATAATATATTGAGTAAAACACTAGTCACTCACTCTTCAGAGGGTATTTTAAAATTTAGGAAAGAAGGTGAAAGAGGTACAATATAGAAGACATGTGATGAAGCCTTTAGAAATCATGTTGGTGTTGAGTATTCATGTCACAAATGGTGAAAAGGTGTCAAATCTATATGAAGATAATGAAAATAGTCTGGTAAGAAAAGGCAAGAGTTAATGCCAACTTGCTTAGCCAAGTGACAATAAAAAAAAATTTTTTCCTTCAATTTCGGTCATAACCAGGTCTTTAATGGCTGGCTTTAATGCTGGCAAACAGCAAAACAACTGTTTGCCAGCATTTGACATGACCCATGGTTCTGTCTTAAGGTGGATTTTTATTAAAATACCGAGTCATAAGTATACTAAAAAGCTTATGATGTGCAGTGTTGCAAACTTCCTGAAAAACTACTTACCTTATAGATTAACATTAGATGCATTCATCATTATTTGCAATAGAATAATTTTTCTTTTGAAATTCATCTGTGCATGAGATCTGACCTCTTTTGTATGATTGACTGTATATTTGATGATGAATATTATATAACTACATACTGGAACTATGAAAAACAGCAACGCTTATTTTGAAATTTTATCTAAAAAAGTCATCTACTGATGTAGATGACTTTTTTAGATAAGATTATTCCTTATCCTATTCAGCAGAAACTAGTTGATTATTTTCTATTTCATTATTGGTATTGTGATATTTCAACGACTTTTTCTCAATAATTGTTCATTCATGCCCATATACACAATGTCTCAGTAAGTCGGAACCGTACGCAAAACTTATTTTATTATTGATCTAAGGAAGAAAGTTATTCATCATAAACAATTCTACAAAGACTAAAACCTAAAATCCAACCATCGGTTATCAAATTTTTTAAGTGATGTTATGAGGTTTGTGAAAAAATATAAATTTTGCTCAGAAGTACATTTATTTTTAACAATGTCGAAAATTGTTATGAAAAGTTGATCAGAATTAAAAGTCTGGTTTAAATATGAAATTGCAATTATTTAAGAAAAATCAGGTTTTGTTATTTAACCAATATTTCTACTTCATAAATTGAAGCAAACAGAGGACAGCCGTGAATACTGTGTTTATTTATAGCCTTTCTGAATACCATTGATTACACCTGTACATCCGCAAATCAAACGATAATATATGCTGATGACATTAATATTCTGATATCACACAATAACATTGACTGATATAGCCTTGAAAATGGACTCATCCTGGATAGAAAAAAAAAACAATTATGTCCGGTTTTTAACAAAAAAACAAATCCAAATTATGACCTAAACTTAACCTTATCTGGTAAATCTATGGGAACTACCAAGTTCTTAGGTGTTACTTGGGAAGCACATGTAAATACTTTAAGTTCAAAACTAAGCAATACATGCTATATAATAAAAAATCTGCGAGATACTGTATCAGCAGACATCCTGAAACTGTTATATTTTGGCTTGGTTCAGTCTACTCTGCAATATGGCATGATCTTTTGGGGGTAATCTTGTCACTTTGAAAAGGCATTCAATTATTACATGTAAACATTTATTCCAGAATCTCCAAATGTTCCAAAATTCCAATGTTTGTATATTTTTGAGCTGAGGACACAAATGTATAATACTAGGAATAATGCAAGGTTATCAGTCTGAAAAATTCACCAAAGCATGTTGGTATCAAATATTTCAATAAAATAAGAAATATAATAAATTTAAATCTGAATGATATTCTATTCATAAATAAATTGGGAAATTTTCTACTTGAAAAAGTATTCTATAAGGCTGAAGAATTTTATATTTCCTGATACCTCACTATTGTGAAACCGACTATTGTATGTATAATTTTTTTGATTTGTTTTGCTACTATACACTATCTTAGCAATTTATTTGTAGATTACTTTCTTTTTTTTTTACTGCTGGGTTTTAAACACGTGTTTATGTGTAATGCCTTGTATAATCTTTGATGAATAAATTCTATCATTATTATAAATTGTAATGTGTTTTGCCGTTCACATCTAACATTTCTTGTCAGTGTATCCAAGATTACATGTACAATATATAACAGATGAAATTTCGTTGTTATTGTAGATATAAGTACCAATAAAAAAAAATGTAAATTAATTCTGATCGACTTTTCTCAATGAAAATATTCGAGATTGTCAAAAATAATGATACTGTCCTCTTGAGCAAAATTCAAATTTTTAAAAAAACCTCGTAAATGGCTGGAATAATTTGAGAACCGCAAGTAGCATTTTGGGTTTGTCCTTTCATAACTTTTCATGATGAATAACCTTTTGCCTAAAACAATAATACATTTTTTTTCAATTAGTTTCAACTTACTAAGCCACACTGAATACTGTTTAATTTTTTTCAGTGGGTAAGCCATTTCTAGTAATAAAATATTTTTTCCAGATTTACCCTAGATTTAAATTATCTCATGAAAGGCAACACTCTCTCATTCACCAAATTAAATAGGTAAATGAGGCGGTGGTCTGATGAGGAAATAGGCGAGAACTATGATGTCTATGTTTTATTCAATCTAAGGCATAACTTTCATTTCTGTTTTCACTCAAAAACTGAGAAGTACCTAACAATTTTTTCAATATCAACATTCTCTACTGTGGCTTTCAAAACCTGTTAAACAATGTTAGAGGATCTTTGTCTAATGAACTGCCAGGTTTCCAGGTGTGCAAACACTTTTTCCACTGTCTCTTGTGCATTTCACTAACCAAATTCATAACATCATTAGGTCATTTGATGATAATTTGGTTGGCATAACACGCGTCTAGAAACGTGCTTTTGTTTTGGTGCGGGGAAAGTGTTTTAAATAGAGCCAAAGGTTCCAATTTTACCCTATCAGAAATGCATTCTCTGAAGTGAAAAATAAGTTTTAGTTTTGGAACAATTGACAAAATATTCACAACTTCCAGAAGACTTTTTTGGTCCTAAATCTGGTATAGAGATTAGTTCTGCTATGTTTTGAAATTAAATTTCATCAGTCAATATATTTATACAGTGCTTTACTACTCTCGATATGTTTAACCTAATTATTCCCAAACTGACAAGTCTGAAAAATGAACAAAAAAAGTAATTTTTATTTCATTTATTGACATCACAGATTTCAATTGACAGAAAATACTAATCTTTACAACCTTTGTTATGTAGGTGCCAAATATAGATATCATTTGAAAGAAAACTACATAATGACTGTTATGTATCGTGTAAATTTTCATAATCAGAACAAGTGATGGAATTGACATGATAAGTTACAACTATAGTACAATTCTATAATAGTTGGCACTAAATTCTCAGAAATATCATTGTATTAAAACGAAAATATTGTTCTCAAGGTTGTGATTCTATATATTTTATCATCATTTTTCCTCATCTGTTTAGTATGATTTCCGTTCGCCACTGCAAGAGACAGATTAACGCAAAAAAGTCACGTCATTTCTGAGAATTTAGTGTCTGCTATTTTAGAATTATATTATACAGAAAACAACTATCCAATAAAAATCAATTTGTTACACGCTCCCACAATAATCATGCTATTCATTAGTCAACAACAAATGATTTTGAAAAACCTCTATATTCCATTGTCCAGTTTTGCAAGTTATTTCAAAAATATCTGCCAGCATATTCAGGAAAGCTTTAAAAACCTTTTTGTTTTTTGAAAACAATTAGCCTATCATTAACATAGGAAAATAATAGTTTAACTTTCTTCAATTCTGAAATATTCACAAGGATTTGACTTACAACTATCAAACTAACATTCCTGAAAAAAATATAAATTTGAAATTCCTGTCAGAAGAAGCCCTTTAGGTATCTTTATGTATTTTTTTACAGCTAAATCATCCTTACTGAACTCTGAGCTCACTAGTTCTTCATATGTTGCTAGCTCAAAATTGACAACTGAAGTTGGAGGTTATACCTTATCACTGAAATTATTACAAGGAGACGTCCAAATAACTAACTTGCACCTATCTTAATTGTTTTAGGAGCGAATCATTTTATTATTCATCAAACTTGCTGCTTGTCTTGCTTCCTAATGTTTCGTGAATACAATAATTTGTATCTATTTAGTTTTGACATTAATTCTTTTGGTATTTTTGACTTTTGCTAAATTGGACAACACAGATTATTTTCCTTTTCCCTGTATTACATTCTTTAGTTTTTAGATGTGGAATCATATGCTATGAGATACATTTGTTGCTTTTGCATCCCATGTTGCTTTGAAATAAGGACTAGTCTAGCATAGCCAAATATATGAATGTGAATAAGATCGAGTTTATCTTTGAATCACGATGAACCATTTTCTTCGGGGAATGTAAGGTGAACTTTTCCTATGAAAAATTCTTCTTCTTGCCGTTTCCTCACTTTTTAACAATAGAATAAATATTTGAAGTTTGTTACTTCATCAGTGAATTTTTATTATAAAATGAAGACTAATTACATTCATAAGGCCTCAAAGATAAACTTGTTGCAATTTGCCTGATTGTGCCAATCTTTTTGCTGATGAATGATAAAGAACTCTTTGCATTTTTTGTAATTTGATAATCTCTAGCTAAAGAAATCTTTGCCTTGGATATTCAGATCACTGTTTGATGGGTTTTGCAGTCATATTTTTTTTTATTCTATTCATATGTTCCAGATGTTCGTAATAATTTTATAAGGTAGCAAATTCTAGAATATCCATAATTTCATCAGATTTTGTGTCGAAAAAATTGCAATGTACTACACACAAAATCTATCAACTGAGTAACACTTTATTGTGAGATTTTCACTGAACATATTCAGTGAAAATATCAGAATACAGTGTTACTTGAATCCTTTAAGAATTTTCATCATGTTTAGGCCAATTCCATGACAAACATATCATCATTCATAGTAGTAGAACTGGTTGAAAACAAGCTTGGTGTTGAATCTTGAAAATTTTTCATCCTTATAGGCTTCCAGCGATTGTTGACTAGACATCTATAAAAATTTTATGATGAACGTGATTTACGTCTCTCATCGTTGATTATTTTTAGGAAATTTCTCGATAGTTTTCATCGCAAAAAGATGTACTAATCTTTGTGAAACATTACATGTTGGGATCCCTAACAGTCTGCAACTACTAATCTTTTTCATTTCAGAAAGTGCTTTAGATTAGTTTTAAGGGATTTGTGGTACTTATTTCTGACACTAAAAGTGTCAACGGATAGTTCTCCCTCGTCTGCTTTCATTATTTGATCTTCTTCCAAATGAAGTGCTGCAACATTATCAAGATCTCATCGTAATTCAATATTGTACCAAACTGTTTTAATGTTCTTGAATTTTGGTGTCAAACTATTTATAATGCCAACAATTTTTACAACACCAGAGAGCATTCCACTTTGGTTTTCAATTGGATGCAAACTTTGACACTTTTGCGACGTGTCAGCTTCATTCTCAGTAATATTGATGAACAAATATTGTGAATTCAAGCTCATAACCTTTCTTCACTATTCTTGTATAAACTTTATAATTCTAACCAAATTTGTTAAGCACTATTACAAGGTAATACACGTTGAGTTTAGTCACTCTCAAAGGAACTTATTATTGCTGTCATGGCTTTTTCACCAGATCTCTACCATTTTTTTGTCATTTGGTATTACAGATGTTTCAGTGATAATATCCAACAAACCCTGTCCTCTTAGCATAGATTGGATCTAAAACTTTCATAGTCTATCCTTTTGACAATTCAATGGATGAATTACTTGTTTTGCTCCGTTAATCCTTCATTCTGCTCTTCTACATGAATTTATACTACAAAGTGAAGTGGCTTGATTCTTTAAATATATTTAAATATGCTATTTATAACCTCAAAGAATATGCAACAATTCCTGGGCCCATAACCTGGTGAATCTTCTGAAGTTTTGTTAACAGAAAAACTTCTGAAGTTTTGTTAACAGAATTTCAATAACAAAAATTACTTTCATGAATATGCCTGACGAAGCTCTTACAAACACATGACAACTATCTAATCGAAAGTAATAGAAGTAGCATACATATGAAAATTAGTAAACAATTGATCTCAACACTTCAAATTCAATTTGATGTTGATTTTGTCCGTTGTCTACTATTTGAATATCATTTATTTCCTGCACTTGTTCTACCGTAAAAACTACCCTTAACAAAAAGAGAAATATACAGAACAAGTACATAACAGGGACCTAACAAACTGATGCTGCATGATCAAAGTATTATGAACTCCTCGAAACATTAGTTCTGAGAACAATAATTAGTAAAAATCTTATAATACCTATTTTATAGAGTTTGTGCTAAGTGATAGTGGTGAAGACTTAGAATCTTCCCCTAGTAGGAATGTTTCAAGTTCAATATTTACAATATTTATATAAAAATATACAATTTTCATGTTGCTTTGCAACACCTTAATCATAATTCTATGATCAATTACTAGCAGAAGCATTATCTTTGCATCGAAAAGAGAATATATTTCATTTCATACAATAAATTAGTCACAATTTCTGACAGGAAACTAGATTTTTATCTATATTTAGGAACCAGTTTTTTGTCAATAATATTGGGACAATTTATTATTGAAAATTGGTGTAGATAATGGAAAAGTATGTTTCAACTTATATTATCTGTAACTTTTAATAGGAATATTGCACTATATCTAATTATAAGATAGCAGCTAGATGAAAACACAAATGTATAAAATAGGAGAGTAGTTTCATTGTAACTTTACAAATTGAAATAATTTCTCTTAATAAACTTTCAAAATTCAAAGTATTGCATCAACTAATTTTATTTTAAATGTTTTTTTCTGTACAGAATGAAACAGTTTTTTGACATAAAATAATTCAAAATATTGAGAAACTTGAGATGAAAAAATAAAATAACAATATGCTCACCAGGTGTTTGATATCCCTTGAGAATTTTTAACAATTGATTCATGTATACATTTGAAAGGGGTATATTTCTTATCAGAGATTAGTTTGTGGAAAAAAGCTTCTGGATTTCTCCTTCTTCATGTAATATCTGAATTGTTGGATTGATATATTATTTGAAAAATATAATAGTTTATTCTGAACTTTAATATTGTTTACATATTTATCACTTTGACAATAAGATACTATACTAAGACTATAAAGTACATAATGTATGTATCAAGACCAAGCCCAGGATTTTATCGGGATAATAAACTATTTCCGTTCTGTATTTGTGTGACATATTATATGTCTTGTTTATTATTGTATTTACAGTTACACAGAGTCAGTGCAAACTAAATAATTTTATCACCCTGTGAAAGGGGTATCAGGTCCAGGATGAGCAATTTTCTTTACTTTTTCAAAAATACTTAATTTCAAAAACACATTTATCGGAAAAATTTTAATCATCTCAACTAGCTACATCTTATTACAAATCTTCATATGGAAATACATATATACAAAAGTTAAAAGTGAACTATCTACAATTTTAAAAATGTTTATTTACAAAATCTTTAATTTCATATAAGTATGAAGTTCGATCATATGGATATTATTAACACGATATTTTTGTGTAAAGTAAAAGTAAATTCAAGTGAATCACAAATAACTAACTGAATGATTTTGAGAAAACATATTTTTTGAATTCCATTAATATTTATTATGGTGATGTGTCAATATATTTCAAACAAATTTATGATATAAGAATAAAAGATAATATTTTGTTATGTTTACAGAATTCATTTACAAATGTTATTGGTGGTATGCTGGCACAGAGAACAAAACATATATTATTTACTTTATCTATACTGTATTCTTTATAAACATATATTTGAAACATTAAAATTGGAACAAAAATAGTCTGACATCTGTTTAAAAAAAATCTGTTTTTCCGTTAATCAGCTGTCGACCCCATACGAACGACAACTCTCAGAAGTTGAGAAACTTGTGCGAGCTAAGGACTAACGAGGTCTTACCTTTCAACGTGTGATTCCTAACACGGTTGCACATAAATAATAATAACAGTTATTTCTGTCACTTGCAAGAAGAGAACCGAGTTTCATATTTTAAAATATTAGTAATTCAGATGGTTAGTTCGTGACTGGCTAGAATCTCCTTAAGATTTTCTAAGTAGTACTTTTGACATAATAAACTTACAGCCATCATGAAGATTTTTCTTCAACACTGTCATTTGAAGTAAAACTAATTTCAAATGAAACACGGAGTGAAATTGAAATAAAAAAATTTTATGAAAAATCTCAGTGCTTGGTAACCAACCTACTGAATGAATGTACTTAAAATATGGAATGTTAGTACAATTAATGGTAATAATTATCAAACAACAGACACGAATAATTCTTGTAACATCGAGAAAATATTAGCATTCTTTAAATATTATTTTCATTTATTCATGCTTCGAATTCAAAATATAGACAACTGTTGAAATATTTAAGAGACCAGAAGAATATAACTAATGGGAAATGTATACTGTCAATTGGCAAATATAGTGGCAGAATCAGAAAACAAATTTTTGGTACTATTCAAATAAAATTAAATATCTGAATGTGGTCGATAATCAGAGATCTTTGTATAAATTATTATTATAAATACAATATTTCATTCATATTATAATAATACAACTATAACAAGGTGTCAAAAAAGGTAAGAGACCCGGGTTTTTCTTTTCATGCATTGAAAAACATTTTTGTTTGAGATTTGTTTTTCAAAAACCTTTTTGTTGATATAGAAACTTAATTTCTGAGTGAGATAGGCAATTTTAATATAGAAATTTCTTCAATAAGAAATCAATATAATTTTTTGACACTTTGTATACTGAAATAGTTCAATCATGGTTTTCGAATTGAATTCTTGTAATCAAATATGGGTAGGACATTTTTTTCAATAAGTCAGGTAAGATATACAACATCCTGTGGAAAAAGTTATACACAAACTTTTCGATGACAGTAGATTTTTATTCCAAATGTATTAAAATAGAAAGTTACGATCAGTCTTTGAATTTTATTTGTAAAATATATTTGCATTAGGTCCCGATGATGTCCAAGAAGTTATAAATGCATGATCAACAAATAAATTGATTTTAAATAAACTAACACATTGAATGTATCATCTGAATTAAATTTCTTTTTTCTTTTCTATGACCAAATTTTTCATTACCATGTATGTGACATGATTTTTAAAATGAACTTTTGAAAATGATGTACCACATATTCATTCTCACGTCTCATTTACATAAATATACCAAAAATTTTCAAGTGTATTTCCCATTTTGCCATATAATTTTCCTGAAAACATTTTTTTTAGATAAGTCATTTTTGGCTTTTGAAAACAATGTATTATTAGTATAATTATTCATTCTGGGACATCCCCACAAAAGTTTCCAACATATCTTATCATTTAACCACCTATACAAGAAACATATGTACTCCTCATTCGATTCAAGAATTCTTATTGCTTGAAATTTTTTTTAGATACAAACGAAACATAACAATTCAGAGTCAAAACAAAAACTTACTTTAAATGCTAGGAAACAGTCATGCGGGATATCAAATGTTGACAGAGCTGATTATAAATCAGGTGATCACCCGATATCCTCCTCATCTTAAGTCCTTTGGAGTCCTTAGGCTTTTCAATGATTTTCAGTTCTATCTGAATACCACCTTCGAATTCCAAACTTAATCTATCGCTCACCTCTTCTGGAAAAATACAAGTCTTAGGTACTATTCGGTCACTAATTGTCTTTTTCACCATCTCTAGGATGTCAGTAGACTGCAGTTTTGAGCAGACGTCTGATAGTTCCAATTCGAATGAACCCGAGTTTTTGTGAAGATTCATTGGCGGAATCTGACATAGCACATTACTGTTGTCTAAATTCATTTTGAAGTTTTGAAATATTTGAAAATTCTGTGTACCACAGGCATTTGTCAATTCTTGATTTATCTGCATCTTCTCGTAAGTATCGATAGACCTATTTCGAATTTCATTATCAAATACGTGGCTAGACTGTGTGTTCGAACTGGAGCTTGGGCTTTGATTTCCAATGCTTACACTATCATTGGATAATGAGTCATCGGAGTAACACGAGCCTTTATCCGAGTTTCGCCTCCGAAAAAACTCTTCTGGGATTTGAGACTCAACCTCTAGCGGTTTAGGTTCATTTTCCTGACTAGTTTTACGACCAATACCTCGAGTGATTGAAGGCGAATTATCGGCAGGTTCCGAAATGATAAAAGAAGGTATCCTAGACATTTTTAGATTTTCTAGACTGTCCATTGAATCTTCTGATGTGTCCGAGCCAGCTACGAGGGTCACTTCACTACCTGAAAAATTGAACAGTTGATTATTTACCAAATCATTGTTAGAAGAAATTGTGTTTCAAAGTTAAATGAGTATATTTTATTTTATTTTTTGTTTCATCAAACAATAAAAGCATGATCCACGGACATTTGCAATTTTTATTCCGACCAATTTTTCTTTTTTATATGGACCAAAAAAGGAATCATCCACTATAAGTTAGTCTTCTTGATTACAATTCAACTGATGTATCATCACTTAAAAAAGCTATTAAAAATGTTGTTCCTAATTTAACCGACTTTGTAGCTTACGGTTTCTAATTTTCCCATGATTGCCTTCATTATCATACACACTGTAGACTTGAGATCATGTGATATTTATAAAAAAAATCAATATGATTTTTTAAAGTTGAAAATTAATCAAATACCCAAAGTATTATGTGAAAGTTTTATCACGTAAGTGTTATATCACTACTATCTTCGCAAAAAATTAACCATTTCCTTGTCGGAGAAAATAACATTTTGGAGAATTATCTTTTTTTTTTTTTTAAATCATTGTGTTGTATTTTCACACATCAACTTGTTTTATGTTGTTTTCTAGGAATGCTTTTTTAATTGTATTTTTGTATTGTTGCATAATGCCTTTAATTTATTTTGTATTTTTTCTATTGTATTGATTGAAATGGGTTTGAACTCGTTAATAAATGAATAAAATATACTTAAATCATCAACTATATGAGCAATCCAAAAATATTTACCTAAGACGTCTGTAACGGATATTTGCGGATGACCTGGTTCTGCTTTGGTATTACTTTGTACAAGAATTTCTTCTTGGATCATATCTAAACCAGGACTTCCTGGATTGCTTATGGGAGAGTTTGTTAAACTACGATGACCATGGATGTTTAGAAGGGAATTCTTCACATATGGAAGATTTGGCGCAAAGGTTGTGTCCATGTCTTCGTGTAGTTGCTGACTCCTTGGATCCATTTGGAGATTAGTTGAGGGAATACCCTGAGTTATAGAACCTGCACTGGTCGTGTTCAATCCACTTATACCTGATTCAAATTTATCAGTGATCACACATGAGTAAAATCAATTATGAAATCAAATTATGCAGTTACTAATCAATTGAAATAGGAACGATAGTGACAATCCTAATGTAAAAAAGATTTATCTTCAAACAGTTTTCCATTTAATACATTTGGAAAGAGAATGGTAACGTCACCTCTATTTTAAGGGACACACTATTATTATTTTTTCATCACTGAGCTTCTGAAGACATTTTCAATGGATTCTCAATGGATACACAGATCGAAAATTATTATTCAGTTGTAATATAAGCACTAAAATCTGAAATGTTCTACAAGGAATTCCTTCATGAGGTTTTGTCACAGTATAAAAACAAATATTGTAAAATATCCGAAAAAGAAAAGCAGTCTAGTTCTAAATTTCAATGCTAGGTAAATAGCTGCAGACTGGTTTTGTCAATTTCTTTCAATCTGCATGTACTGATACACCGAAAATTCTTATTCTAATTTTTTTATAAATATTGCAAGATGGAAGAGCAGATGTATGTTAACTGTTGACAAGTCATAGACAGTTGGTACAAATTAGTGTGCAAATAGAGCGAACAATATAAAAGCAGTATTAAATTCAAATTTAGAAATGATTTACAAAATAGATAACAATTAAAGAATCGAAAAAAAAATTCTTAAATATATAAATAGTAATGTTAAAACAATAAGGCTATTTAGTCTGAATATGTACTTTGCATGAAATCAAGTAACGTCCAAAGAATTTCGTAATGACATTTCAAGTCTAAATCTTGGCTGTCTTGACTTGTCCCGCATTTCTAGTTTCATAATTATGATGATCT